GGAAGCATGTTGGCTTCAGGCGTTGACGGCGATACGACAGCGGTGTTATCTGACGTGTCTGCGCTCGACGACCCGCCAGACGTCATCCGGTTCTGGTTCTGGTTCCCACGTCAGCCATGTAGTGCAACCATAACAGAAGGGCACTCACGAATTGTTTAAAGGTGTCGGGCGCATGGATGACAGACGGCGGGGCATCGTCCGAGTCAGCCCTGCGCACGGCGGTGTTCAGCTTATGGGTATGGGGCTGTCACAGGTCAGATGAGTGCAGGCAGGCGCCGTGGAGGTGGTGATAAGATACCTTTGCGGGCCCGTCCTGGCTCGCCGGGCTCACTATGTCGTCAGTGCCCGGCGATCTGATATCGCTCATGCCATCTTCGCTTGCACTTGGGTGATTGACCTGGGCATCGTCTTCGATCTGTAGTGGGGTCAGCCCCGCGCGTTCGTATATCCACCCACGACGCGACGTACCTCAGTGTGGTCAGTATGGCTCGTGCCGTTGCTGTCGACGGGCGAGGGGTCGACGGTCGCCGGGTATGGGCTGGGCGGTGGTTGCAGGTGGTCGGAAGTGTGCCCTGAGGATCTTGGGGAGTCCATGTTAGCGGGCAGTCGCCAATGCTCTGGCAGCGAGGGCGTCGCACCTATTTGAGAAGACGTGGGCAAAGGTGCCCGGTGAGCTGGGCGAGTCTGTGTAGGGGCTGAATGCCGACATGGACTTTAGGCCACTCGGTGACGGCATGAGCTGCGTCGCGGTTGCCATGCCTCGCGCTGTTCTTGAGGAAGGCACAACAGAGGCTGCGCCAGGACTGCGCCGGATCTACGCTGCGGTGGGCAGGAACAATCGCGGGTGGTCTCGCGATGGGCTGCCTATCACTCAGACGACGAGGTTGGCGAGGCTGAGCGGCGGGTCACGAATCAGAAGGGAAGGCGCGAAAAGGGTGGGCGGCGGGCGAGCGCTTGCGTCTAAGGAAAGAAGGACGGGACGAGGCTTATCAGAGCAGGCCAGCTGCCGGGAAGAGGCTCAAGGTGCTTGGTGCAGAGAGGTGTCGTTGTTTGTTTCAACACTGCGACTCTGCCTCGGTGGAGACTCTCAGCGCAGACAGGCGGCAGACGGCGTCAATCGTGTACCTAGCAGCAGCAGCGAACTGCTCGCCCGCCCGTGCACTACGCCCGCTTACAACACCTGTCCGTTCACCACCACCACTGGGCGCCGCAGACGAATCGCCGCCCTGGGTCCTGCTAAGCTTCAGGGATGCACTGCAGCTTAAGCGCCCAAACCCACGCTAGATGGCGGGCGTGGTCAGCGATCCCGCGCCGTGCGTGCCAGAGACACGACACTGGATCCTCTAGAACAGCCATCGCTACCAGCCTGGCTCCCTCTTCCGTCTGCTGGTGCGAACCACTCCGATCCATTGTCCTACCTGATGCCGTCCCGCGGAAAACAAACGGCTGCGCGGCCCTCCAAGGTGTAGGTAAGCAGCCCCTTGGCATCATCTATTCACCCAGCATTAGTTCCTCGCATGGCGAACGTTGCTGCAGACGACTAGGGCCAGGCCTCCTTGAGACGCTAATGCACCCTTCCTCAAAAGGCTCCATCAGGTGCTTGGAGACAGCACTGGTGTGCGGCACAGTCACGGTGCCCATCCTACCGTTTGCTCTGTCTCCAGTCCTGGCCCCATCGATATCGACGTGGCGGCCTTGCATCAAATGAAGACCTGCGTAGTGTGACGACTTCCTGCTCGCAACGGTCCGTCGACACATGGCATCCCAAGAGCCTCTTCTTGCTAAATCTGTAGGATCGTCATCGGTATCGCTCTTCCACTAGTTCATCTCCAGATTCCCCAAGCGTATCAGCGCCCCCGGCTACCGTGGGCTCGGATGCTTAGATTGGCCAATCGAATCCCCAACTTTTCCACTGGGACACGAAAGCATACAATTTTTTCTCCCACCAACCTACCACAGCTCACGCCGCGCGTATCTTCAATAATCCCATTAGTCTGGCCTACAAGCAGCTACCTGGTCCATGTCCACCTTGACAATGGCACCAGCTGTCCTTCTTCGTGCGACCTGCGCCGCTTCCGCGTTTGACATTAGCCGCGCTCAAGGCGGCTTGCTAATAAGCGCCGTGGAGCACAGGACATTCTTTCGGCCTTTGTCTAACCGACAGGTACAATCTCTAAGATGACTGACAGGAGGCTGCAGCTACGGCCTGCATAACTCATGCACACAGGTCTGCGACCGATCGGAACGTGCCTTTCGACGCCAACTACGCAAAATCTTGGATCTGTCGGCGACGTTGGACCCAACACAATCTAATGCGCAGGGCACGCTACAAAAGTCGAGGAGCAATGGCATGGCTTTGAAGAAGGTGTCTAACATACTCGGTGCCCCACTCTGCGTCGATAGCTTTTGTGTATACACCCAACCGAAGCGACCCCGCTCTCACGTTATCGGCGCTTACTCGCTTCGTTTCTTTGGCAAACCTCCCCACCACCAACGACATCTAGACTTATTCGGATAATGGCATTCAGATAGTCCGATGCATCCGGAGTCATGATACTGGGTGGCCTGAAAGCGATCTTTACTAGCGACTGCCACGCGATATCCCAGGATGCTGGTACGATGGCTACGCGAAAAGCGGGCATTCATTCCTGGATGTCCTGCTGGAAGAGGAATTCTCATGCCCAGTCCACCAACAATGGCAATCATGCACATGTCTCAACCTACAACTGCTCGGATAAGGGCCGCTATATTGGCTTTTGAGTGTTGTGCATCCCACCAACAGCTGGATTGCCTGGTACGAAGCAGCTCATTGTTTCCCCAATTGTACCCAACACTAAAGGGCGCTTTAGGTTTGCTACAGTAGATGCACAAGACACAATAGTAGGATCAGTCGAGCGCTCTTCCTTGTCCTGGGCATCGTTCGAAAAATCAACCCTTCGTAGTGTCCGTTTCCTCAATACTAAACCAGACCAATGTTGGCTTCTTAGGCCAACATGGGCGTCCTCACCGCTCAAAAGGTAACGCAAATCACGATGAAAGAATTCGAAGCCACCATTCTACCCGTGAAGCTACCCACAGCATGAAATCTCCGAGGGGCTTAGCTATTGGAATACTCCCTCCCGTGCCGGGCGCTTCTGCAACCCATGAGGTGCTTTGCGGCGCACGTCAGCCCTAAACGAGCATACCAACGCCTCAGAGTCAAACACACGATTTGTCACAGTCTGCCTTGGGCAAACAAAATGAACGTACAGCCCTGTGCGACTGACGCTGTGCGGCAACAAGGAGGCTCAATGTTGCACCACATCTTGGACAACAAGACTGCACGCCTCTGACCATCACCAACGAGTGTACACACAACATGTCTCGCCTGATGGTGCCAGACGTCGTGATAAGCCCCGGTCAACATTCGCTTATGCGACTGCGTGGCAGATGCTCTCCCCTACGAGTGTACGTAAAATACAGCGGTGGGGATGACATACCTGGCGCTACAGCTATTCGTTAAAAGTACTGCCTAGCTACAACAAACGCGATAGCATATTGGTATAACCCGTGGTGTGATGATCTTTCCCGCTACATGATCTGAATCAACGATTGGGTCTACTGCATGTGCGTCGAAGTTATATTCAACGACTCGAAACTTCGTAAACAGAGACGTACCATCTTTCTGTCACCTTTTTTGCCAGCTGCATGGTAATGCAAACCATGCACCATCAGCAAGACCGGTCTTTTACTGATTGCGACGTCGGCAGTGTAAGCTCGTCTAATGTATATGATCTGGCACAAGTCTTCTCGTGCTAGAGTCGCCTAGCCGTCTACACTCCTGATAATGGGTGAAGGGGAAGCGAGATGTCAGCCAATGAGGTGGTGTTACCAGCCGCTCGGCTCAGACACCTCTTGTCCAGATCTTGCATCTTCCACCATCCTTCAAGCCACAACTTTCTCGCAAAGTCATTAGATTTACAACTGATGCTCTCTTCACCTGGTATTCACTGCTGCGATACTTGCTGACTACTTAGAGCCATGGACTGCTATCGATAACCATACTTTCCATCTCAGCCCGATGGGCCGCAGCCTGTCGATCCTCTCGCTTCTACGATGCACGATTCAATTTGATACGCAACGCATCGAGAAGGTCCGACGTTTGTGGCGCTTTCATGGCCTCATTTGGGCGCTCGTTGCGGGGCGAGCTTTCACCGGTATCGTATTCGGAAGATACTTTCAGCCTCTTCAGCTGAAGGCCTCGGCAGACCAGTCACCGTGTAGCCTAGAGGTATTCGCGCTCACAGCAAAGAACGTGAGCTGTCTTCCGCAGTAAAAAGGTCTCTTTTTCACAATCGAGTCTCTTACTAGTCGCTCTTACAATACTCGAGTCACCAAGGTGACTTCCCGCACGAGTCATGCCTCTCGTTCGGCCCCCACCCCTTCCACCTCGACCATCCTCAGAATCAGCAACCCCGCAGACCAAACAACCCCCAGCACTTGGGTTGTGCAAACGATCAAACTTCACACAAGGGCATAATGACTGGCTGCAGATCAAATCGCCAAGGGCCATCCCCAACTTCGACATTTGTCCGGATTGCTACAACACATCCTTCCGCAACACTCGCTATGCATCCTTCATATCTGCCGGTCCCGCCAAATCAGCTAAGATGTCTGTTGTCTGCGATTTCTCGTTCCTTTGGGTGAGACTAGCCTATATGTGGTTGTTCCAAATGGGACAACCTGATTTGAGCTTACTGGGCGAAATCAGTAGCATTGATCCTGACAGGGATGGCATCTGCCCAAACTTCAACATGGAAGATCCAGTGGTCAAGAATGGAGGAAGGCCCGAAGCGATTAGGACGTGGTACTGTCTACAAGACCCAAAGACTGGGTCGCTGGTCGAAGAGATGACAGCCTGTTCATTCTGCGTGGCGCACATAAACGTCCTCTTTCCCTGTCTGAAGCGCATATTTGCACCCATTGCAAACGGGCAAAGGCTTCTCGCCACCTGCGACCTGATGACGCAGGGAAATGGCCAACAGCGGTGCATTGAGATTGTTGATCAAATGGCCGCCGTTGCGCAAAGTACTCTTGAAACGAAGACACGAGATATCACACCACTGATCTATTTCGTGAAAACATGGGGCCCTATTCCTGCTTGTCAACAAGGGAAATTGGTCTCAGGCCAAAAGCAGTACAGCTTCCCTTCTACGGTTCCGGAGTTCACCGCCTGCGAAGAGTGTTACCATAGACACATCGAACCTCTCTACTCTCAGTCACCCCAACCAGCGATTCTCGCGCAGCTTGAGGAGCAAGAGGCAAAAACCGGAGGCTTCCTGTGTGATCTGTTTTCACCACGTCTCCAGTCCTACTTCACAGACGCCAGTCGTACAAACGACATCTCCACCTTCCGCCAAAAGCTCATGGCACGAAACAACAAGATGCAAGAAATTGAGATTCAGCTTCGGCGTATGAAGCAGGAGATTCATCAGTTGAAAGCGCAGGAGAGAATGCACAGGAATCAGATGATAGTTGCGCAGTCGCAGGCCAGAATCCGCAGCACACAATGGGCTGTTAGTGGCTGGAGCGCACCGCCGGTGAGTACTGAATCGGCTGGCATGTTGTCATGAGAGGCTACGATGACGACTAACATCTGTGCAGATTGATTGGGGTATAACAAACGTGGAGATGGCGAAAGCAAATGAGAAAGCGATGCAAGCGGCCATCCTTCAGGACAGCATGACGGACCTGGAAAACGAATGGATTAGATATTGGAAATGAACATGCGGTCGTCAGAAGCTTGTATGTTAAGACACTGCAAGTATATTGTATCAACCTGCACATCAGCCACTCTCTCCATCCTCAACGCGCCTAACCGCAAATTCCCTCCTACAATTCGGACAAAGCAGACTCCCCAACATAGCCTCAACAAGACAGTCCCTTCCAAACCGCTTCCCACAACACGCAACCTGCTTGACAACCCCGCCACAACACCCACCCTCCCCCGCACCAAAAGCACCCCAACAAAACGGACAACGAACATCGTCTCGCATCGCCGTCTCCACTTCGACAGTAGCCAGAGAATGCACATAAGCAGGGGCATACACCTCAGCCGTCTCCGAGATCCGCGGTGAGTCATTCGCATTCACATGGCCAAACTCCAGATACGACGCAACCAGCCCCTGAATACTCTTTGTGAGCCGGTATAACTCCATGCCTTCCTTGAAAGTTTGCAGCGTCATAACGGCATTATCATCTAACCCCTTCTCCCGCGAATACCGTAGTATCGCCCGAAGTAAACCTACTTCCTCCAAAGTATAGGACACGATGACCCCATCGGCCAGCGGAGGCGGAACTGGTCTTCTGAATACAAACCGATGTAGGGAGCGATGTAGATAACATACGCCACCGATTCCTCAACGAGTTCCTCGGCGTAGGTCAACAGCGTCATGTTTGTCATGGTGTCGCTGAGCCAGACCTGCGATTTGGATTGCTGGAGCGTGGTTTCGATGTAGGTTTGGGCGATGCTTGCGGCGGAGATGAAGTCGGAGAGGGTGAAGGTTAGAGGGGAGGTGGGGTTTGTGTTGTCGGAGGGCCATGCGCCTGGCATGAGTGGGAGGGGTTCGTGGCTCACTATGTTGGTTAAAGTTAGATTGCTTCGGTTGTCGTTGGTTGGGTTGAGGAGGTCTGAAGATGTAGAGAAAGGCTTATATACATGAAGTGCCAATTCGACTCCAGAGTGAAAGGTGAGACAGAAGAGCTTGGTGGGTGTGTGGAATATACGACTCGTCTCATCAACGAATGGTTCGGTCGCTGAGATTATCAAACGACCTGACGGAATTATCGCTGCATTGTGCAGAGATATGGGAAGTCACCAGACATGGCAAAGTCATGAAAATGCTTTAATGTTATAATGTTTCCATTTTATTCAAGATCGAACGCCTTCCCAAGCCCCCAAATGTCCCAATCCCAAGCGCATCAAGGCGCGGTGAATGTACTAATACAGAACTCCCTCGAAAGACAATAGACCGAGTCCGTCTTTTCCCAATGTTCGTAAATATCATGAACCTCGTTGTCCATAGGACGCTCGAAAAGCCAGTTCTTTAATTTCAACGCCTTGCAATGCTTCCGAGACGCCTCGCTTGCTGAATGGACAAAAAAGCCATGATGAGACCCAGTTGTACGCTTGACAGATGTTCCGAGGGTAGATGTGGAGATTCCTTTCCCTGTGAGATGAGGGAGAGGATCGCGTCACATACCCAAAAACGAGATGTGATTACTTACCAACTTACCGTTGCGCGTAGAGTCGGATGAATGATACCAGCTCCGTTGCGCAAGCCGGTAGTTGATGTCCGTGCTAGACACGTGTGATGCTTATAGAGCGTGATGCTCCAACCCATATCTATCGGATACGAGCTCCTTCGTTGTCGAATGCAGAAACTTAGCGGATAGTCATCTGCTTAGTGGCACTGGGCTTCATGGAAGCAGAGCCGGCGGCAGCAACGGAAGGCTGACCGGGCTTCTTCTCGAAGATCTTCCAGAACTTGAGAGACTCGTCGGCAGCAGCGGTGGCGAGCATCTGACCATCAGGGCTGAGGCAGCTGTGGAGAACACGAGACTCGTGAGCGGGGACCTCCATGTTCTTGACACCGGAGGGGTAGCTCCAGATGCTCAGGCTGTTGTCGGGGAAGCCACCAGTGCTGACAATCTCCTTGTAGTGGGTGCTCCAGCGGAGGCTGGTGACTTGGGAGTCGGTGGGGATGTGGTTGATGCGGGCACCAGTGGTGGTGTTCCAGAAGTAGATTTGACGGTCGTTGGAACCACCGCCGGTGGCAAGCAGGTTGGATTGCCATGGGCACCATGAGACGGCCTTGACGGCAGCGCGGTGGTTGGTCTTGGTGAACTTGGGGGCGGCAAGCGCGCGCGCATCCCAGATGTTGACCATGTTGTCGTTGGCACCAGTGGCAAGCTGGGCACCGTCGGCACGCCACTCAAGACCGCAGACCTCTCCAGTGTGCGAGACGAGCTCGGCGATCTTGTGTTGAGCGACGCGGACGTCGTGGTTGTAGACAAGGCCGGAACGGGCACCGGTGGAGAGGATGTGCTTGTTCCATCCCATAACGCCAACGCGGGTCTCGTGACCGAACATGCTGCGGAGCTTGGTCTGCTCCTCAACGTCCCAGATCTGAACCTCACCCGTGCCGAGACCGACACCAACGTAGGCACCGTCGCCGGACCACTTGACGGAAGAGATGTAGGTATCGGCGGGGCACTCGAGGAGAGAGGCGACCGACCCAGAGTCAGCTGACCAGACGTAGACTGAGCGCTCAAGACCGATAGCGACCTGGTTGCCGGAAGACCAGTCGAGAAGGTTGAGGTAGTAGTCGTCGACAAGACCGGGAGCATCAAGGACGCGCTCGGGTGCTGACGGGATGCGACGGCGGCTCTGTGCGTTGACGCTGCTGCTGGGCTTGAGAGGACGGTTGTACTGGGAGCGAAGGTCGATGGGCTTGGACGACTCGGGCGGCGCAGGCTTGAAAGCAAGAATGCGAGTGTTTGTGTTGATGCCACATGCTGAGGCAAGTGTGGACTGGTATGCAGCCTGGCTAGGAGCCGGCTTGGAGCGTGATCGGCTCTCTTCCTCGTCGTCCTCAAGGCTCAGACCCTCGAGGGACAGTGTGACATCCTCCTCTGAACCACGGCCACCGAGATCGAAAGCACTTGCGGCGTTGGCCAGCACGGTCGAGCCCTCCTTCTTGGAGCTTGACTTGGGGCGCTGTTCAGCGTCGAGCTTGCTGGCACCAACGCTGCGGATAGCTTCGCTTGCAGTCCGGTTGGGGATGAAGCGGTCGGCGGCGTTGTAGGCAATGCGCGTCTTGGTGGGGCGAGCACGGATGGCAGCCGCCTCCTTCTTCTCCTTCTTGGCCTTGGTGGTGGCGGTGGTGCCGGATCCAGTGAGGGCCCATTCTGAGACACCGAGTTCTAACCGGCGGGGAGTGTGTGTGTGGGAGCGAGCAATGTTGGACTTGGGGGAGTCTCGCGTCGTCTTGGTGACAGAGCGCTGTATGCGCGACTTGAAGTCGTTGCCATGGATTGACTCGTGTGCCTGCACATCGGGAGTCTGGGTGCGCGGGGTGCGGGGAGAGGGCGTCAGTGGCATCCGACCGCCGGCGGTGCGGGTGTTGAAGACGGCAGAGCGCTTCTTGACCGGAGTCACGCAGACTGCGGTGCTTGCCATGACTGCTAGCTAGTCTCCTACTGGACTAGGGTTAGTTGGATTCTTAGTAAACAGGACGTGGTGGCATACAGTATGTGGGTTGGTTTCTGCTATATGGTGTAAGGATTAGTATTAGACAATGCTGTAATCGATGCTGTGAAGTATTGATTCGAAAGTAATTGAGTGATTCGCGCTCTGGAGAAGAAGATGCAGGGCAGTGCGGATGGTAGAGTGCGTGGTAGTGGATATGCAGAGTGGCAGGTATGGGGGCGTTTAAGTATCCTTTGTTTACGCTTGCGTCGACCAGGTAACGAGGACGGGACCCTGCGCGAGGCTGGCCGGACGACCAGGACGCATGACATCACATGACGGTGCTCGACCCTCGCCGGCATCGTAGTCTATCCGGTTTGTGAAGCCGCATGCATCGTTGTCGCGTCGATGCCGCCGCCTGCATGGCCTTGCTTTTACCGCTGCATGCATGATGGCGATGGCTTTATAGCGTCTGCTCTCGTGCCATACTGCGACGCATTTGAGCAGTCTCTCAGTCCATCATCACTGCACAGCCACTCACTGATCGCATATTCTAGCATCTGCCGTGGTGCATTAATCTGCTGCAGCTGTCGAGTGGCCAAATATCGGAGTGGCTCGCGCTGTCCGTGTCGGGCACAGGGCTGAGTCGTCGTGGGTCGGCGCTTCCGCTTTCCAGCCTCGGGCGGTGACGGGCGGCAATATGCACGGCCAGCCAACTCAACTTCCTCCGTCAAACATTCTCCCAGCCTAGACAAAGGCCACCTCTGCCCACCGGGGCTTCTACCAAGAACCAGATCACGCTCTTCACCGCTCACTATCCATGGCACAAACATCCGCTCGATCCGCTTTCCCGTCCAACATCCTCAACCCCGCCGTCACCTCTACACCCTCGCCCAGCCACTCCCACTCGAATACACCGGGATCCGCCAGCTCTGCCAACAACACTTTCCTCATGTCTGCGAGCCCCGTTCGGAGTCGCAGATCAGCCGTCGAAGGCTACAAACCGAAAATGATTTCGACAATCGGCGCCAAGCCCGCCTGCCTGGTCAATGCCTCTGTCACTTATGTTGGCGATGATCAGATCTACGCCTTTGGAGGCTTCGACCAGTATACCGATGAGGTCTACAACCACGTCCTTCGCCTCAACCTCGTCACTCGACAATGGAATCTGGTCGACAACTACGGGGACATTCCGGGCGTACGAATGGGTACGTGCTCACCGCTCTATTACCAATGCTACTTCCGTCGCAACTAACATAGCGCTTTAGGACATACTGCATGTCTCTGGCAGGGGAGCAAACTGCTCGTCTTCGGCGGTGAGAATGAGCACCGTCAACATCTCGCCGACGTCATTGTGTTCGACCTGAAGACCGCTCACTGGACGCAGCCCGAACTCCATGGCCCAATACCTCGCGGTCGCGCTCGGCATTCGGCCGTCATATACGACGATAAGCTATATATCAGCGGTGGCCAGACTGGGCATGATAGTGTACTAGACGACATTTGCTATCTCGACCTCAAGACGTGGACGTGGTCCCGGACATGGAGGTTCGTTCCTCGTTACGATCACGCCAGCTGGATCTGGAACGGTCGCATCTGGATTTTTGGTGGCATCAATGACGAGATGGAGAAGAGCAATGAGATCTGGTGGCTCGATCTCCGCGGTAGCCCAGAGTTCGATCACGCCATGAAGTATGGAACAGGCGACCGGCAACTCATCTCGTCCCGACATCGCTACCCTGTACCAGCGTCTGGTCAACTTGCGACCGGAAGCAGTGGTTATACTGCAAACTCGAGCGTCCAGTCATATCATGGCATGGGTTCAAGTCGCTCACCCTACGTTGCGCCTGGTTCCATCTCATCCCTCAAATTTCACTCCAGTCCGAACCTACCATCTCAAGCGGCGGGCACGCATTTCCACATCTTTTCATCCGGTTGCATGCTCGATTTCGTTACCCCGGCAGAGTTGAGCTGCGAGACAAGTTTGTCCAGTCTAGAGCTAGATACACTGCGATGGCAGAAGCTTGCCGACGGGAAGGACCTTTACAGCCCCAACTACCGCTGGCACTACTGCACAACAAACCCCGAAGGAACACATGCCTGGCTTCTAGGCAGCCCGATCGAGTCGGCGAATGACGGGAACCATAACGGCGAGTATCTAAGTGATGTCCTCGCCATCGATCTTCGGAAGTATGGCATCCTGGGCAACGAGCTGGCCTCCGACACGCGCTCAAAGATGATGCCTTCTTCCGATGCGAATGTGTCTTCGCACCTTACCGGTATTGGTGCGGATCTTTCCCTAACTTTTGATCAACCACCCGAGAGCGGCAGCGGCGCAGATTTTATCATCACGGCCGATCCCGATGATGATGACTACGTGGATGTTGCCGTGCCAGATCCCAACGGCTCGTCAACAACCGTGAGCCCAGTATCGCGGCCGATCCACGTTCACAAGCTCATTCTCCATGCTCGCTGGCCCCATTTTGCCCGTCTATGGAGTGCTCAGATGGCAGAGTTCCACTCGAAGAAGATGCACATTCCCGAACCGTATTCAGCAGTTCGGGCGTTCCTGTTTTATCTGTATACGGATAGCATTGCGCCAAACCCTCAGAATGGACCCAGCCTGAACGACGTAGCAGGCATGCTTGTCATGTCCAACATCTACGACATGCCCCGTCTTCGCCTACTCTGCGTCAACCGCTTGGGTCGGGAGCTCGACATTGAGCACGCAGCCATAATCTGGGAGCGTGCTGCTACTGCTGGAGAAGACTGGCTCAAGCAGCGAGCGGCTACATTCTGCATGCAGAACTTTGGCAGAGTCGTCCGCACAGCGGGCTACCGTAGTCTCAGCCCGGCGAGCTTGATCGAGCTCAGCTGTGAAGCTACCCCAGAAGCGCGCATCGTCGGTGGAGAGGATCTGGATCTCCTCAGCCAAATCACTGGTCGCTCTTTCGGCGGCAGCAACCGCAAACGCAGTTTGGGTAGCGCAGGCGTCCTCACGGCAGGCGAGGACGACGGAGAGGACGAAGTGGAGGATGATGGCATGGATGTCAACTAATTCAGCGGTTGAGCTCTCTTTTTCATGCGACTTTACCCCTTGCTCTGCTACTGCACAAGCATATTGGCGCGGCGTTGGTATTTTGAACGGTAATTGGGAGGAGTTTGGTTGGATTTGATATATGCATTGCGTGGGCGCGCAAGGACTTTGGCGCTGGTGTTTAGCTAATGGTCCCCTTTTGACGGCACTCACGATTGCATGATTGCACCCCCGTATTATACCGCTACATAGATACTACGAATTGTTCCTTCTGCCATCATGATTTACCGTCTTCGCGATTTCTGATGTGACCACGTCTTGCTCTGGCAAAACAGAACGCCTGTCGACAACTTCGGGTGCATGGCAGACTATCCGTAGCGAAGCCTTCGTCCACCCTTCTGCTCAGCCATCTGGCAGCTCACTGATATTCCCTTTCGCTCTGCATAGTTGATCGCATCGCGCCCATTGATCTTGGCACAATTGTTCGCTGTTATCGTTGTCAAGTTCGGAAGTTTGTCCGCCAGCATCTTGATCGACGCTCCAGTGATCTGGGTGTGAGAGAGGTCGATTGTCTTTAGCCCAGTCTTGTAAAGGTTGACCAGCTTCTCTATATCATCATCATCGCAGGGCATGGTGGCAATGTCCAGGGATTCCAACGCTGGCGTGAGGACGCGTGGGGAATCGCCGAATATGGACTCCATTCGCGCTTCTTGCCCGAGTCCGAACATGTGATTTGAACTACTATCGACTAGGCCGTGCAGGGTCAACGATTGCAAAGGCTTTCGTGTTGAGCATGTTGCCGTTTCATTCTCGTGGGAACAGATATCTAGTATGTCTCCTAGTGCTTCTGTGCCTAGGCCTTTGAAGCCAGATATCGCTAGATGTGTGAGTTCTGGAACGCAGCACTTGTGCAAGGGCAGGATATGCTGTAGGTCGAATTCACCACCGTCGTTTTCGATGACCAGTCGCTGCAGTGTGGGCGGGAGAAGAGGCAATACCAGGAGGTCCATCCGCTTCAGCGCCAGGCTTTTCAGTGGTGGTAATTGAGCCTCGTCTCTGGGCCATCCTTGTGGAGCTTCAATATGTTGTACGTTGGAGAGTGCTAAGGATTCAAGGCATGGAGTTCGAGCCAGGAGGTCATGTAGCCCGAGATTGACCGTCGAGACGGGGGACGACCAATGCATGCCGAGTGTGCGGAGATTCCCAAATGAAGTTGTCCAGTTAGTGGCGGCCCCGCGGGACCTCAGGGCGCCGAAGACCACGTGTTCCAGTACAGGCCTCGCATGCATTATCTGCACTGCAGTATCTTGCGTGATCTCTGGATGTATCGTAAACTTCTTCAGCTTGGGAGCGCTCTTGACAACGTCAATCAACGTAGCTGACATGGTATGTGGTACAGAGATGAGCTCCAACTCTGTAAGGTCCTTGGCTGCTTTCGCAAGGTTTTTGAGTACATCCATGTGTTCGAAGCGATGGATCGTGACGCGTGTCAACCGGTATTCCGAGCGCTTGAAAGCTGTATTGACGAACGATCGAGGGACCGGTCTGCGGGCGCCGGAGAGGTCGAGATGCATCCAAAGTTTAGGTAACTTGGAGAGATAGTCCCTCCATCCCTTGCTGACGCGCATGCAGTTGACCATGTGGCGGAAGGAGCAATACTCTAGTACCATTTCCGCTAGCTCGGCGGGCAGAACTGTGAACGGATCGATGGCCGATGCAGGTGATAGTTTTCGAGTGAACTTGTCGTGAAGTTGTTGCAAGAGCTGTCGACGGTCAGTAATCCATGCAAAAGACAAAGTCGAAGATGAGTCCTCACAACAGGACAAAGAATACATCACATACCTTGAAGTTCTTGTCGCTAGGTGGCACATTTTTCATTCCATACTTGTAAATCCCGAGCGCCGTCTCAGGTTTCTCCAACTTCTCCAGAATACTCGCCGTGCGTAAGTAGCCCTTGACATCTTTCTTGTTTAATCTGATCATTTCTCTGCCATCTTTGACAGCGGCGTTGAGGTTTCCAAGCTTGTCGTACGTAGCAGCTCGATGGTCGTACAGGTCCGCGGTTGGACAAGCCTCGATACCTTTCGAAAAGGTTTCCAGGGCTTTCTCGTATTGTTTCAGCTTATAGTAGCTGCGGCCAATCGCCTGATACTCTTCTGGGGACATTCGGCGCGCCATGGTGATGAGAGCGGATGATGTTTACTAAGCCGAAATGGTATTGTTGGGTAGCAGCCAAACCCAGGGTGCGCAGTGCGATTGTGCTTAGTCGCCCAATGAAGCTGCGCAATTACGGACGAGGATCTCCCGGGTGAATAAGAATGATGTGCGACCGAAGCCTTCAGAGGGCTATTGCTGTAGATCTTCCACGCGTGAGATGAAATATGCCAGTTGCGGTGTTGAGGTCGTGGGAGTGGAGTGCTTACGTGCCGGCGACGCGTCGAAAGACACGCTAACACATGACGTGATCCGTGCGCGCATGCCTCATCGTGCGGCGAGCTTGCCGACTCCACCTCTAAGACTGTTCTCATTAACAAATGCGGCAGCGATGAATACAAGATACATGTAGTGATGGCCATCTTGATTCAATCTACTGGATGGTGTGTCGCTGGTAATTGCGGTAGGTCATCACAACGGTGTCACATTTGTGACGGAGCTATCACGTTTGTATGCGCATCATGTTCGATCCACGCGAATATTGCTGAATGATATGCCGCTACACTCAATATCCTCAGAGATACCGCCCGCCCGCGGTGAGGGTGCTACAACTCGTTTACTCACAAGTTCAGCCGGCACGGTACAAAAACTCAAACGGCAGGACGCGAACTCATCACTCCAGAAGTACCCGTTATCGCACTCGAACATGTTCCTGCCGTGCAATCTCGAAAACAAAGGAAGCAGTCTGGCGTAAAGTCAAGGAACAAAGGACTTCGCGGATAGAATGAAGCAGATGGGAATCACGAGCAACTTTGAAAATCCGTAGACCCAGAAGGGGTGCTCTTCCAGGGGTAAAAAGAGACACGCCAGCTACACCGAGGAGCCGCCTCGGTTCAATAGACGGGGAAACGACTGACGACCGACTTCAGAGATGAAAGGCCCCCAGACCCAACTCTAGTCCGTCCGTGGGCCCGCTGTTCTGCGACTAGCATTGGCGACGACCTGGGCAATGCACGAGGGACCTGGTGACTTTAGCGATGGTGGGACACATGACTGTTGAGGAGGAGTAGATCCTGGAGATGGTGGGATCCCCACACTATCTTGGGACGTCGGATGGATTTATCGGACATTGGCAGCATCCTTGGTACGGAGGTTAGGTCTTGGGATCGGGTTGACTAAGTCGCTCCGATGGCAAGTCGGAGGTCGAATCAGTCGGGGCAGTAGGACGCCTTTATGCGGCTGAAATACAGTGGAGCTGTCAACATAACCTTCGCATCGAACCGAGACGCAAGAGCTAGGGATCGTAGCAAAACGTCCTTGAATTTGATCTCCGCCGTTTTCCCCAGTCCCAGAGTCCTGGCAATGGGGTCGACGATGGCAACCAAGTGGGATCAGAACAGCAACTCGGTGGAGGTCCGTCACGATGATGATGCATATTCAACAGTAATTGGCGGATTTTGGAATGACCCTGCGTTGGAGGAAGTGATGGAAAAGTGGAGTGTGATTATCAGTGTGATTATCAATACGGCATTTGCATAAAGCGGAGACCCCGACATTAGACGGCGGTTCCGGTGACAGACTGGAGTGTGTGCCGCTTGGCAGGGACTTGAGCGAGAGTGCGGTGTAGTAGGCACCGAAAGCGACATAAAATTGGGGTTGGCTGTTATATGTGGAGTTACCACGTCGTTGGGGCGTTTGGTGTGTTTTAGCACACGATATGAGAGCCGTCTTTTCCGGCAGGTGGAATGCTCGCGGGAGCGTAATTTGGGGCGGATTGATGGGGTACTGGAGAGATCGGCGCAGTTTAGCTGGGTCCTGGGGTAGACTTGTTAGTATAGAGCACTTTCGTAGGCTGCGAGTACTGCTTTCGGCGGTGTTGTTGCTGCTGTTTACTCCTACCTGCGTGACGAGAAAGGAGTTGGGACAGTGAAATGCGCCCGGATGTCCCGAAACAGGAAGGCCCGAGATCTGCAAGACGATGCACATGTCAGCCTCATCCCCACGCTAGGGCTTGTGAACTCCACACGAGCCTCTCCCGACTACCAAGCATGCATTGGCAATTTGTCCCGCCATGGCAGAAAGCGCGACCGCGTCTACCGAGCAGCATCCACGGCGCGACCAAGCTGATCGACCGCACGGCGAGAATATCTAGGAGAGGTGTCAGCAAACCAAGAGCGCTCCCGACGGCATGGGCAAATCCTCGGCTGTATAGCAACTTAATCTGAATGTCTCGACAGATGCCGCTATCACGTGCGTCGAATCGTCTCCCGGCCGGCAGTGCCGCCCGACGTTGCTGCACTCCATCCCAGGAAGTACAGCCGACCATCGACCATCACAGCAACCATCGTCACCGTTGCAGCACATGGCGTGTTCAAGCTCCACCAACTGCAGTCTCTATTAGTTAAGATCATCGGCCAAGCTGCAAAGGCTGCAGAGCCGCATGCGCACGGTTGGTCAGACCCTGCATGGGGACGGACGCGAGTCGCCGGTGCATGACGTCAAGCGCCCTCTTGTTGAGACTGAAACCGTGCCTTATGGGAGGAATTAGCACACTATCCGTACACGGCGGCATGTAGCCCGAGATGGTGCCTACGACCTACACCGGTGTTCTAGTCGACGACGAAGTTCCTGCATCATCTTGACATGCGTACCGTAGATTTTGACAGGCGGTTGCGGGTGGCGTAGGCGGCGAAGAAACTTCTTCCAGCCTTCTGTGCTGACTGGCGAACCCATCGTTCACCAATCGTTTCACCTACGTCTTCCCCAGGCTGACCCCAAGCCCTGCGCATATGACGTAATGTGGAGGTAACCTCGGGCTAGGAGCAGAGACATGCTGTGCCGAGCGCGCTTGTTGGACTGCAAGCGTCCTCCGCTCTTCTCCAAGATTGGCCCAAGATGGCTTGCTCCACCAACAGACCCTGTTAGGTTCGCCTTTGTATCCACAGTTTATTTGCGCCTCTACCGCCCGCACCTCAGGCTCGCATACTGCTACACCAGCCAAGGCCAAGATGTTGGAAAAAAATCGTTATCTAGTTTTCTCCACGCGTCAGTCGGAATCTTGGTAGCGTATCTTTTAGTGGGCCGAGGGTAGACGACCAGTAACCACGTTTCTGCCGAACACCCTTGTACGCAACGGACGATGATCATTTAAAGCTCTACTCTCTCCCCACGGATCTTTCCTCCCCAGCATCTCCTCACTCCTCTCCAGTTTCCATCGATACAACGCAACCATGCCGCCACGTATCAAGGAGTCCGAAAATGGTGTTCCCACCTACTGGGGCAAGTCCGGCAGGGCCCTCCAGGTTCTCATCACCATCGTTGCTGTTACCGACTTCCTGCTCTTCGGTTATGACCAGGGTGTCATGAGTGGAATCATCTCCGCTCCCGCCTTCCAAGCTGCGTTCCCTGAAGTCATAGATGACTCTACCTACGAGGGTTTCGTCGTCTCCATCTATGCCGTCGGTTGTCTGCTTGGTGCCATCTTCGTCTTCGTCTTTGGTGACAAGCTTGGACGCCGCAAGAGTATCTTCCTGGGTGCTGGAGTTATGATTGTCGGTGTCATCATTCAGATTGCCTGCGTCCCTCCCAACAGTGGCGCTACCGCCCAGTTCATCGTCGGACGATGCATTACTGGTGTTGGAAACGGTATCAACACTTCTACCATTCCCACCTACCAAGCTGAGTACGTCATTCCAACATTTGCTCCTCCAAACGATTACTAACAATTCCTAGATGCTGCAAGGCCAAGAACCGCGGTAAAGTTATTTGCATCGAGGGTTCCATGGTTGCCATTGGTACGCTCATCGCCTACTGGATCGACTACGGCTGTCTCTACGGTCCCGATGACTTCACCTGGAGATTCCCCATTGCTTTCCAGTGTGTTTTCGCCCTCATCGTCATCGTTATGATGATTTCGCTACCCGAATCTCCTCGATGGCTCCTCAACCACCATCACGAAGACGAAGCCGCTACTGTACTGGCTGGTCTCAACGGTGTTGCCCGCGACGACCAAGAGGTCATTGTCCAGATGCAAGTCATTCGCGATGCAGTCAGCGCATCTGGTGGTGGCGGCAAGGTCCCTACCAAGGCTCTTCTTACCGGCGGCAAGTCCCAGCACTTCCGTCGTGCTATCCTCGGCGCTTCCTCGCAATTCATGCAACAATTGTCCGGTTGCAACGCTGTCATCTACTACTTCCCTATTCTGTGCCAGAGCGCCTTGAACACCGACCACAACCTCGCCCTTCTTCTCGGAGGTGTCAACATGGTTGTTTACGCCATGTTCGCCGCTACCTCTTTCTACTTCGTTGAGCGTGTCGGCCGCAGAAAGTTGTACCTCATCGGTACCGTCGGTCAGATGACTGCCATGATCATCACCTTTGCCTGCCTGCTCCCCGGTGGTGTGCAGAACGAGGACAACGAGGGACCTGCCAAGGGTGCCGCTGTTGGTCTGTTCTTGTACATCGCGTTCTTCGGTGTTACATGGCTGCCGCTTCCCTGGTTGTACCCCGCCGAGATCAACCCTCTCAAGACCCGCCAGAAGGCCAACGCTTTCTCGTAAGTTATCACTGCACCCACATGATGTAAGAACAACGCTAACAGAGAGGCAGGACCATTAATAACTGTGCGTTTTTTCTGTCTAACACTCATGCGAGACCATTACTAACATCCTGATAGGGCTGTGGAACTTCTTCATTGTCATGATTACCCCCGTTTTGATCACCAACATCGGTTGGGGAACCTACCTCCTCTTCGCTGCTCTTAACGCCTCCTTCATCCCCATCATCTACTTCTTCTACCCTGAGACTGCTGGTCGTTCCCTCGAGGAAATCGACCTCATCTTCGCCAAGGGTTACACCGAGAAGATGAGCTACGTGCAAGCCGCCAAGCAGCTCCCCAAGATGGACGAGGCCCAGATCGCCGAGGCCGTTCGCCAGTACGATCTCTCCGACAGCGACGTCGAGAACCGCTCGGCTGCTGGATCGCTCAAGGAGAAGCGTCAGCAAGATGAGGAGCTGATGCCTCAGGCTGGAGGTCAGATGTAAGATCTGAAATGTTGCAAGACGAAGATACGAGCGCTGGTCGTACATGATTGCGAATGAGCGCGCTGTGTGCGCTACGGTATCGTTGAGTCTTTACTTGTTATGCATTATGCCTGGAGGAACTATACCCGACGCACAAACGTCACCCATCTAGGCTGAGATGCATGGAGGAATTTGCTAGGTCGCATGTCTGGAAAATGCGCAAGTTTTGTTGTTTCTAATTGCATAGCATCGCTTTATACCATTGATCGACAGATGTCGTCAACCATAGAAATCTATGACTTTTCTCACTACACTATGTCTCCTCCTCCTTGAACATGCACATTCTGATGGACAGTCAATCAAATGTCTCATATCTAGATGGACTTGAGGAGGAAAGTTTACAGGTACCAGTGGGCTGCCATGCTGGCGTTCCTGGACTCAGTGCAGGTCAGGTCGACAAGGATTAGCATTTGAAAGACCAGCGTCGATGTGCAGCGCCAGATTTAGAGACTGCGATATAACAAGCAGGGGAGTAGGGATTCAACCAAAGTTGGGGCATACAGTTTCATCCTTGGCCCTGAAGAGCCTGAGGATCATCACCATCTGCAATTCCACTTCCGCCTTCGGCCGGCGCAGCAATCTTGATAGCGGGAACATCGGCAAGCGCAGCAACCTCGGTAGCGGGGACACCGACAAGTGGTTCAACTTCCATCTCATCGTCGGGTAGTTCGAGGGTCTTCATGGCGGCAGTCGCATCCTTCACGTGCTCCTCGTGCGCCGCGATTCTGTCATCCACGTCGTCGTCGAAATCGTAGGCGTCAGGATCAGTTCGCGCCAAATCGGCACCCACTTCGTCTAAATGTTCGCGTACATCGTCCATGTACTTATCGAGCTCTGCGTCCTCGCCCTCTGGATGCCAGCGCCTAGTCACACGCCACAGGGACTCCGCTTCCGTGTGACAGTTGCTCGCGTCTAACCAATCGCCCAGGGTTGAAGCCAATAAGAGGAGCGCTTTCATACGGTGGTATCGTGGTATAGCGTCATTGGCAAGAAGGGCGCGGGTTTTTTCGATACATTCGTCCAGGCGGTCGTCGTTGTAGAGTTCGCCTGCTTCGTTCAACGCCTTAGTGAAGGACTCGTCGATATCGCTGGCGGTAGTCATTCTGTAAGTATCTACGGGCCTTATATGGGGTATATTGCTGGGTGATGAGGTGTCCACGATGCTTGTGCGTATGCGTGTGTGTTGTGGGTGGTTGTGGATGAGTGGAATCGCTGCACTCAACCTTGAACAGTCAACTACCTAGGTAGGTACCTAAGTATCACAACTATTGTGGATACCGTAGTGTGACTCCACTAATAGTACGAACCACGTACAGACTCCTGTCTCAGGTCGAAAGGGCAATTTTTGCTTCGCTGGTGTCTCGCTATAATACGGGAACTATCTTACCTGTCGTGCTTGAATGTTGTCAGGCTTTTTGTATCAGTCAATACAGATCACCCAATGGCTCGGCATGATCGCAAAGTTGGATGTATGCTACAAGGCCCATCGTTGTCTATCCATGATATGTCTCACGAGACCATGTAGTTCTGTCGGGACCTCAAAGTGCTGCGACGAACGCACGTGCCTCGGTAGTGCTCGGAACGTTCCGAACGCGCGCCTCGATGACACTTGGCTTCCATTCCACTCTTCGATACTGCGACCTTGCGTCCTCATGTTCCCACACCAGTGATCAAGCACCATGGCGATATCGAACGTGTCATTTGACACTCTGGGTCCCTTCCTAGTGTGGCAGTTCCTCATACCCATCGCAAGTTAGCCCTCACACCTGCGGCACGGCAATATCTAACGCGACACAGGCAGCGGGATGGGCCCAATCCATTCTCTACAGCATCTTCATTCGCGCCGGCGACCCCAAACCGCAGCCCGGCACTCCGCGCTTTATTAAGCATCGCCGCAACATTCTGATAGCCATCTACGCCGCCTACTTCGCCTTCACCATCTACGAGGTCGACTTCAACCTGCAGCGCTCTAGCAATGCATACAACGACCTCGGCGTACCGCTAGATGTCGATGAGAGCGCACTCAATACGCGATTCAGGAGGCTGACGATTCGATACCACCCAGATAAGATTGGGCCGAATGTGGATAGAGAGAGGGCGAATGACTTCTACGTTCATTTGAAGCGAGCCAAAGACATCATAATGGATCCTGTGAAGCGATTCGCATATGACCGCTTCGGACCAAGCATCTTTGCGCAATGCCAGAGCTGTTTGACTATCAAGGACTACACAGACAGTGCGCTGCTCACTACCGCTACCACCTACGGCGTACTCTTCATCATTCTGGTTGGCGCAAACGCCCTCGGCTTCCTGACGGACGGGTCGTACTGGCGTTACCTTGGCCTCCTCGCTGTTGCAACTTTCGAAATTCGTACCGCCCTCCGCCCAGACTATCCTACCTTCCTCTCGAAATACCTGAACCCGTTCGTCGCAAGAACCAACCTCCGTCCCCCATACCTACCCTTCCAAATCATCACTATATTGAAGAAAGCTGCTATCTCCCTTACGCAATTTCTCGGTCTGCTCATGCCACTTTACCGAAGCGACCCTCAACATGCCGCTAAAGCCAACGACGATACCGAAGACACTCGCCACAAGCAGCTTGACCGCCTCAGCGCGCTTGTTGCGGAGAGCAATAAGGATGCAAACAGGCTGCTGGAGCTGGAAAGCGTACCATATAGGGATAACGAGAGGGCAAAGGGTGAGCTGAGGGAAGCACTCAAGAAGTACATGGTGCAAAATGTGGTGCATCAGGAGAAGGAGGTGAGGAATGCTATGGGTGAGGTCATGATGCGGAGAAGGACGGGTGTGCCACACGGTGCCGTGGGTACGAAATAGTATTAATCCGAGCCGATCGATATCTGTTACCAATCCACGGCTTTTCATTTCTGTTCTATGGATATAGCAAGAACCGCGCTTTTCGACTCTGTCTTCCATGTCCCGCTGCCTGGGAATTCTACTCAGAACGTCCAGCTAATAACATGGTTAAATAATGGCAGATTGAGAAGGTAGGACAGGAAATAGCTGTGCGCAGGAGCGAGCCCTGTCTCGATCAGGATGTATCGCAGGTCAATGAGCGGGTGATTAGTGCTATGGTTTTAGCCCTTTGTTGCTAAACTCGACTTTTGCCCCCGCTATGGAGCGAGCCCGACGATCCGCCAATTCCCCGCAGCCTCCCCACATCTTCTAGGACCATTTTAGCAACCTACCCGGCAACTCAATGGAACATCTCGCGGCCGTCGGAATAATCGCGTCCGCTTTAGCCTAGAAAGAGAGGCACGATGATGTCGATAGACTTTCTGTCATAGCTTCCGATGGCATATGAAGCTCAAGTAGCCTTGGGAAGATGGTCCGGCTACCTCCATAACCCACCGACGATCTAAATACTCCCATGATGACCTCACTCAGAGTCGCCGCCATTTCCCTTGTAGCCATCGCTGTCTACGCATACCCGACGACAGATCAATCCGGGGCTGCATGCCTAAGCGTACCAAAGACAGCAGAAGGTGCTTCGATACCACATAGCAACTCCTTTGCCTCATTCTCGTTCGAACCTGCCTTCTGGGTCGAGTTCTTTGGCAATGCTAGCACTCCAAACAACCTTACTTTCGGTGTCTTGAACAGAATCCATGAGCATGGCGGAAGTCCTGTCGTACGACCTGGCGGCATCACCATGGACAGCATGATATTCGACGCTGACGGTGGCGACGTGGTGCGTACCACTAGTCCGGAAGGCGGCGTATGGCGGACCACTGTTGGACCCAACTACTACAAGAGTTGGAGTAATTTCCCCAATGGGACCAGGTTCATCTCAACTCTCAACTTCGGCAATGAGAGTCTGGAAATTTCTACAGGCCTTGCAGTCGCATCGCTTACCTATCAATCCGACAAGGTCGCGTACCTTGAGCTTGGTAACGAGCCGACCAACTATGACGAGAGTCGGTGGAACGACTCAACTGCAGCCTATGTGCAGCAATGGAAACAGTACACAGCTAGCATCGATACCGCGCTGGATGCTTTGAACAGTTCAGATCTACCCCAAGAGCGCTGGTGGGCATCTTCCGCCACGACCGACGACTCAGGTCTTGAAGTTCGACCTGCCGCACTCATACCAGCGGGCATCGACTCAGAAGATCAGGTTGGCATATATTCGATACACTCGTATGCCTTCTCAACCTGCGATCCAGAACGCGCCGCCTTGGCCACCATCGAAAACATACTCAATCATACCGAGCTCACACGCTACTGCGACGAAGAAATTTACCCGTCTGCCCGCGCTGCTCTCGATGCCGGAAACAAGTGGAACATTGGCGAGTTCAACTCCGTCTCTTGCTCCGGAGCACCAAACGTTACCGATACATTTGCGCAAGCACTCTGGGTTATTGATAGCGAGCTGATCTACGCGACAAGGAATGCCACTTCCACGCATCTACACCAGGGTGCTACACTTGCTCTTCAGTCGGACGAACAACTCAACACGCCCGGTGCAAACGGTAGTCCAGGTTTCAGCACTTATTCAATGCTGTACCCTCGCGACACCGAGTTGAGAGGCCCGGCACGAACTCTGCCCTCTTTCCTCGCCCAGCTATTCATGGCTGAGGCCTTTGCTGTGCCTGACACTCGTCTCCGCGCTCTCGAGCCACCTGCTGGCGTTGATCCAGAGTCGTTCTCTGCATATGCGTTCTACGTCGACGATCACCTGTCGAAGCTAGCACTGGTCAATATGAAGCCTTTCTACGCCAATTCGACCGATGACTTCTCGGTACATGTTGATCTATCGAGCGCTGTGGGTTCCGATGGCGGATGCCTAGGTGTGAAGAGATTGACGGCACCATTCGTGAACACTGGTAATAGCTCGTTGGCATCTTGGGCTGGACAGTCATTTCCTCAGGGTGAGCCGGTGGGCAACGTGGTGGTTGAAGCGGTTGGGACAGATGCTGTAGTAAACGTGAGGGGCAGCGAAGCAGTACTTGTGTTCTTCGATAAAGACAGCATATATGGTCTATAGATGCTAGGATGTATAAGAAGCTCCTAGTATTAACGAATAATGGAGGAATTGCGATAGCAGTTGGCAATTACGTATAACGCATGAACCGTGCATTTGTCGTGCAGTCCCTTCCGCGAGATGGAAACGATTAGTCTAGGCTATAGAGTGGAGATGCTGGGATTGGCTGATCGTCACGGTGTTGCATCGTGGCTTAAGCCAAGCTGCGCTGGTGGAGAGGAGTCGCGATCCTTTGGCACCTGGGCCCCCGTCGCTCGCTAGCGTTTGTATGCTTCGGCCCACGTCAACGCAGCTTCCATCAAGCTCCTTTCCCCAACACCAGCTTTCATCTTAATTTATCGCCCCATGAAGCTCGCAATAGCATCCAATCACTGACATCCATCGATGATGTCGCTCGGGATCATTGGATCGGTCTTTGTGCGGGCTGACGGATTCCATTGCCTAGCCACGGATCGCATGGCAGCTATCGCATAAGAGACGAAACAGGGCAAGCATAGTTACGCCTGGCCACGCCACCAAAACTTCTTGCAGATATCAGAATTATACCGATAATATCGAAAGGAGCACGCGAAAGACAGCTGCACTACCTCCAGGCACAAGAGTCCTGATTCATCCATTGACTCCTACGCTAATGTAAAACTTGTGCCCCGTAAAATCAAAAAAAAGCGAATAGCCTCTGAAATTTCGAGGTCACATGGTCGCTAGATCTATGCGCAGTCCCGCCCCCCTGAGAGTCTCCACCACACTTCCTATCTTCAGCATGAACTGCGCAGCTTCGTTTGAGAAGCGCTCGTAGTCACCATCTCCGAGAGACCCTTGCGCTAAGTCGACTTCGATTACGACCTCAGTACGGGCGGTCTTGATGATAGCGAGGCCCTCAATGGTTTTGCAATACCGCCGCTCTTCAAAAAGCCGCTTCTCTGGCAACAGGAACGCAAAGTCAAGCGGCCGAATCTGTATGTGCAAGCGCCTGGCGTAATGCGCTGGAACCATTCCAAGCCCGAAACCATCCGTTTCAAGAAACGGTTTGAGCAGAAAGAGCTCGTGATGGGCAAACTTGAATGTGCGTGTCCAGTAGTAGCATTCGAGCAATTCTCTAGCAACCTCACTACCCAGGCCTCCTGCACTCATGTAAGCTACGGTAGGGTCTTCGATCCACTGGTAGGAATGTTGGCCGCACGCCTGTCGGATGAGGTGCGCAAAGCGTCGGCCGTTTCCGGTTGCTGTGCGCCGGACGATGACTTCGTTGTCATAAGATCCCTGGACGCAGAACGCATACACGCGGTTGCGGAGCTCACGTGGTAGACGTGTATAGATGTCTGAAGCTAACTCTTCGATTCGAGGTGTACGAGGTTTTTGGCTGTCGTTTCTGGTAAATTAGTCCTGACCAAGTCGTACTTGCGTTCGTCGCTCACTGCTTCTTAAGTTGCTCCACAGGGACTTCGCCATTCCATGCAAAGCTCTGCTGTCGCATCATCTCAAATCCGTATGAGACGTCGTCATATCTGGCGATATCCATCATGTTTCTCTGTGTGATCGACAGCGCTATCGGAAAGTATGTTATGATGGCATGCGATTTCCTAGCATATATACTCCAAGACAGCGGTGTCTCGTTCAAAACTCGAACCCACTTCGCAAATGCACACAGGTAACCACGTGAGTGCTAACTTGCAACGATGCTTTTCGCGAGTGCTTTCGCGGTACATCCTACACTAGTCTGGCCGCCACACGAAGTAATCCGGATTAGGAAAGCATTGCGCATGGCACGGATCTTGTGGGAAGCGAAAACAGCAGCAATCACTCCAAAGACGCAACGTCTGGCGGCATAAGCCCGAAAGCAACGCCGCAGTCGCCGATATGAAATGACCCGAGTTGAGGCCTAATTGACCGCCTTAAACACCGAGTTCGCCGGACGCATGTAGGTTTCTGCGACAACTTCGCAAAGGCTCCTGCTTTGTGCAAGACCCTCCAATATTAGTCGCACAGGACAAGTATCTGACATACAAGCTAGCCCTCTCGATTGGATTACACGCACATCTCTTTGGCCCCCCTTCGCCGCTTTCGCTGAGCTAAAGTGTTCATTGGTGTGAAGGTGATTATGGTCACGTGCTTACGCCCCACTCTTCAGGTACCCATGGACACCGGAAGTCATCGTGCGTTCCGCCCGTTGATGACCTGGGACCCAACACATTTTCCGGGAAAGAGCTCAATGTAAAAGATGCGAAACATCCGACGACTTTAGTACATCCACTACGGTTCGGACCGCGGATTGGCAGAACCCCCGCACGCGGCACAGCACGCTCAACAATAACGGGAAGCACGATGATGGCACACAATCACATTCATCGAGGACCCCATTTCCGTGGATAGTAGCTTCGGCGACGTTCTATGGCATCTGACACGCGTCTACTGTGCCACATCTAGGTAAGACGGCGCTTACATACGCCCTGATCGCAACGTGCTTACACCGTAAGCCGCACACGGTTTTACGCCAATCGATCGCGAAGATAAACACGACCCCTCTGGATCCATTTTTCATCGTCTCCGCCATCGATTGGTCAGGCGTAGATCTCCTCGCACTGCACGTCACGACTTTTCTCCACCAACACCCATCACAACATCAGAAGTGACCGCGATGAAGATCTGTCACAACAAACGGGGACCGTGCCACGTTCTTACCGGGATTCATCCACACCTTTATCTCGACATCGAACCGGGTATCGTGTCCTCCACACCCACACCTCCTCGGGAACGTCCTCTTCGCTTATAGCACGAATCCTTCTGCAACTCAAATTATGCTGCGGCCCCATCTTACTTCCTGGCCTCCACTACACATCTCTGGACGTTCAAGGAGATCATCTCCGCACTGAAAAAGTACTAGAGCACGCCCCGAACAGTGAACTCCGCCCTCTACCGCGTGTGACGGTAGTGACACGACTTCTTGGCGATGCTGCTGATAGTGGAGAGGCTCGTACATTGCAACGGGTACCAGATCGTACACGCTGACTACGCTTACCGCGCCTAGGAATGACGCATTTTCAGCTGCTGGAAGCAAGGTGGGCGAACACGGCTCGCACTAGCTTAACGTGTAGTCGAACCATCTCTGTCATCGCTTTGCCTCCTGGCACCGATCCAGAGTCAATCGTCACATCTGGGGTCTCGTCCTTCTCCATATCCCGTTTGCGTACTCGCCTCTTCCGGTGGTAGAATCCGCAATAGCCCGCGAGGCATCGGCCACTACGATAGGTCTTCACTTTGCATGCCCCGGTCAGGCAGTCTTGTGGCGCTCGCTTGGAAGGAGAGATTTCAGGCTAGTATTATGCGGACTCAACCGGTAGTCTATCTTCGACGGTCTTCGTTATCACAACAACCTATTGGTAGATGATCAAGGCGCCAACACGGCCGAACACGATTGCTGGGGGCCATGGACGTCGGCGAGATACACATATCGTCGACTCAAAGGTTCGCTAGCGACTGTGGCAAGCGCCAGCGCCTAGTGCACCTCTCTCTCCCGCGTTCGTTCACGTATGAGAAGCTCAGAAGATTCACCGGGGATCCTCAATGATCTCTGAGCCCCCATATGAACGCTTGAGAAATTATGTATAATTTCTTATTCTTATCCCCATGATTGGTCATAACTGCGTTACCAAGGGGGATTATGTCAACAAAGAAAATGTCCGAACGCAGCGGCAGGATCACAGCGTGATAATTGAACAAAGAAGGAGCAACATGATCTTCGACCATCTTAGCATTTACGTGTCGAAAGATCTTTCCTGGATGCCTAATGAGGCATTTCTTCGCGAAAGCACAGAATTTAGGAGCACGACTACTAAGGCTTTACCATTTTCGCCCCGTCAGCGGCGCGCTACTGACGGCAAACAAGCCGGTTTCGTGCTGCCACAAGGCTCGAGGTCTTGCGAATAGGCCGCAGTTCGTTGGCGAGTGGAACTTGTCGGTGGCATACCAAGTCTTCGCGGGTGTGCTGAGGCTGCAGCGGATCTAGCGAAAGCACACCCATCTCATGTCTTACTCGCCAGCGGTAGGCTATTTTCACATCGCTAAAGTCAAAAGTAGTGCTCACTGGCCGGTGAGGACCTTTTCAGCCCGTAGATTACAAGGTTGTTCAGCCAGGCCATGGTATACCAAGTCTTCGTATGGATGTGTTGAGAACTCCGGGCTACGGGCGAGTCAAGAGTGGCGTAGTCTGGGCTACACATCGCGAATGGGTGTGGGTGCGTAGAGCGCATCTGCTATGGGGTGACGGGAAGGCTGTAAGGGGGTAGAGAGTGATAAGCTTACGCCCTCCGTGTCGCGATCTGTTTTGATCCAAGGGGAAAATGTCTTCAGTGAACGGTATGTCACGCAGTAGCAAAACCAATGCTATATACATCATTGGCCTCGGTCATGAGTACCCGCCCCATTCGGTAAGACAGGAGCAATTTGAGGACCTCTTGCAGTGCTTGTGCCCCGACGAAATAACTTCACCAGCGTCAGTCATCCAGTGTCTTTCATGGAAACTATTGGTCCAATGCTAATAACCTCACCAGTATCCAGAAGCTCATACAGTTCAACAAGAAAACCAAGATCGTTTCCCGCCCAACTACCCTCGACTACGCAGGATGGACGAAAGAGAACGCTGCACCGCCGGATGTCGACTCCATATCCCGCATATTCCGGACGGAAGGTGTGCGGCTCACCGCCTCTGCATGCAAAGAGGCTATGCGAGAAGCTTGCCTTGAGCCCGGCGACATAACGCACACGGTAGCCGTGACTTGCACTGATCAGAGTAATCCTGGCTATGATCTCTTCGTATGCCAGGAGCTTGGACTTCGTCCGAGCGTACAACGAGTGCTACTCCATGGCGTGGGGTGTGCAGGTGGTCTATCCGCACTTCGCACAGCTGCTAGCATCGCCGCTGCGGCATCACAAAGAGGACGACCCGCCCGCGTATTGGTGATGGCGTGTGAGCTATGCACTCTCTCTATTCAGGCAGAGGTTCAAGCTGCTTGTATAGAGGACAAGCTGCGCGTAGCTCCAGCGCTATTTTCCGATGGCGCAGCGGCGCTAGCAGTATGCAACGGTCTTGCGCTGGAAGACAAGCAAAAGCCAGTGTTCGAGCTGAAAGAATGGGACAGTATAGTTGTGCCGGGTACTTCGAGCTATATCTCGTACGATATCGAGAAGAATGGTATGTTTCTGTAACGTCCAGTGTTGCGTTCCTGTTAGTTTGATGTTAATATGTGAGCAGGCATGATAGCTACTATCAGCAAACACGTTCCAGGCACAGCCATCAACGCCATCTTGCCCTTGTTCGATCAACTGCGTGCCACCTCCGATACTGCTCACGCCGCTGCATCGGCGACTCTCAGTCTTGCTTCTAACTTCGATTGGGCTATTCATCCAGGTGGTGCAAACATTCTACAGGGGGCTAAGCAAGCTCTGCAACTCAACGAAGATCATATTCGAGCCTCACTCGACGTGTATCATAACTTTGGGAACTCATCCAGCCCAACCGTGCTCATCGTGTTGGACAAACTTCGCCGGATGGGGGAAGGCAGAGAGAACGTTGTTGCGACCAGCTTTGGACCGGGGGTCTTAGTTGAAATGTGCTTGATGAGACGATGCCGCCAAAGCACTATAGCACCATCATCTCCATCTAGCGCACATACGAAGATGTATACTCTATGGCTGTCTCTACACTCACGGTTGTCAAAGAGGTGGACCCAGATACAGCCAAGGGCCGTGAAAGGTATCAAGAGAAGGACGAGCGGGTATGCATCAATTGTACAATAGTAGATATCTCCGAAATGAATGCATGCGTACATAGAGAACGGTCTCGTGAAAGCTGCGTCGCGGTGGGTGCTGTTCGAGTGCACAGGTAGCGATTGGCTCTCCGCGAAGTGGGTCCGATGACGTCAACGCGTCTGGATCTCGAAGGGACGCGACTTGCTATGACCGCGTTCCTTCTCACAATTGAGACACAACTCAACACGCATGGCCCGCACACGCTCGAATCAGCGGTATAGCAAGCAAGCTGAAGCAGTTCCACCTGTTTTGAGTGATGACGATGTCAGAGAAACCGATGATCAGCTGGCCACACCATCATCTGCATCTTTCCAAGACCGACTGAAGAAGTTCCAATACAGCGAAACGCGGACGGCGCAACGTACCGGACAACCATCCGGATCGCCGATAGAACCTAGAAAACGCAGCAGGACTACTGTGACGGCGGTGGCAAAGATCGCACCGGAACCTTCTCCACGACCGAAGAAGAAGAGGAAACCCAGCAAATATGCTGACCCATCCAAATACGCGCATCTAGCGCCACTGGTCGATATACTAGAGCCTAATCTGATCTGTGTCTTCGTTGGCACGAATCCAGGTGTTCAGACGGCCGCTGCAGGGCATGCTTATGCGCATCCCTCGAACCTTTTCTGGAAGCTGCTCCACTCCTCAGGACTTACCGACCGTCGACTGAAACCTGAGGAAGATCGGAGTCTCCCTGCTCTTTATTGTATGGGTAATACCAATATCGTCGAGAGACCCTCCAAAGACGCTGCCGAGCTCTCAAAAGAGGAGACGGCGGCCGGTACAGCACAACTGGATGCCAAGTTCCTCAAATACAAGCCAGAGGCTGTGTGCATAGTAGGCAAGGGTATCTGGGAAGCCATCTGGCGGTATCGCTACGGCAAGAACATGGGCAAAAAAGATTTTAAGTATGGGTGGCAGGATGAGGAGCACAACATGGGCAAAAGCGAGGATGGCCAGGAAGAGCAGGATGCCGATGGCAATGTGTGGAATGGGTCCAGGGTGTTTGTTACTACGAGTACGAGCGGGCTAGCGGCAAGTCTGAAGCCGGCCGAGAAAGAAGCTATCTGGAAACCCTTTGGCGAGTGGGTGCAGAAGCGAAGGGCCGAACGGGGCTTTGTGCCTCGGCCAGCGGAGGCATAGAAATTCGGTGACGACGTACTGTAACTTCAAGGGTCGTCAATCACGGCAGTCGTCGCTACTTTCGCAAAGGAGTCGACAGCGCAACGTATCCATTGTTCAAACGAGCGAAAGATCATCCATGTGCTCCCCGTTCGAGTTCCACACTACAATCTCTACGGATTGTTTTGCTGCTCTGTCTACCAAGCCACGCGTCATCTGGCAGTACGGAACGACGAGCTGTCACAGGGATCGACCCGTTTGTTTGGTACTGACAATCCTGGGATCCCATTGCTTATATCGAGATTGCGCCTCACCTGCGCCACAAGAAGTCGCCATGTTGGTTAGCCGACCGCCCTCAAAGTCCTTTTACCGCCAAGCCGGCTCCCAACCAGAGTGACAAACATCGATTTTCGGACCGCAGACTCTCCACTTGGTCGCCGAGGGCGTATATGCTGACTTGGCGCCGGACACATCCGCGCCGGCCAAGGTCTTCGGCAACAATATCACAGTAGCTTTCGGACCTCTTGGCAGTGCTTTCGTCTCCGTGTCGGGCTTCACCAGTAGATTTGTGGCAGGAATATGGTAGGCATGATATCGTCAGAGCACCAGCTTCGTCGCTGCTGTCATGCCAAGGAGACGAACGACTGAGCCACTTGACTGGCCCGTCTAATATTGCCTGTTGGAAAGTGGCGCCACAGCTAAGCTACATTGGTCACTAGCGTCCGGAACAGACGGCAAGCTCGCATATGCAACCCAACAGCACCTCACATGTGCCATTCACGAAAAGGTCATTTCAGCTCGCGCTTTTCCCGGATTAGTGGTAGGAAGTATCGAAAATCTATGCATACGAGGTTTGTTCACTATGTCTCGCATTCTGAACAGATAGGCTTGCAACACCGCACCACGTAGCAAAGCAGCGAAGATCGTACTGTTCGCACGCAGAACGAAACGCTTTCAAGTCATGCGCCTTACATACCAAGACTTTGCACACGCGTATGACAAGGGTCGTGCGTCTATCGTCACAGCAGTGGCTTGCCTGGTCCCACTCATGCCTCAGCAAGCCCGAGCAAATGCCATAGCTACGCGCCCTGACTGCCACACTTGTGGCGCCGAGCAAAGCTCACCCGCAGCAGTCCAAAAGTACGGAACGTATACCGGCATGGACGCGGTGAATTGCGATGAGCACGTTGGGTCGTGCATAGCCTCTCGCACCCTTTACCTCGCAGATCCGGTGTTGCCGTTTGCCGAAAGCAATAGCCAGGCGCGTCAAGAGGTGCAATCTTAAAAGACACGGGTTGGTCCCCCTAAAAGTTCCACTTTGCTGTGCCACACATATCATCTGCCACACTCCTCTGCCACAGTACACACTCACCACCAGCCTCTCTTCACTTGCCACACCCACGAGCTAGACGCTTCACCAGCCACGAGCCCGCATCTCTATTCCAACGTCAAGTCTACAACACTTAATAGCAAATATGAGCTACCCACCACCTCAACAACCCGGCTACTATGGCCCTCCGCAGCCAGGCTATGGCCAATACCCGCCGCCTCAGCAACAGGTATGTCTCATCTATTATCATAACATGCAATTGCAAGTTTGCGGTGATTTGGGGTGTGGCTGACGCAGTTTGTGAACTAGATGTACTACCAACAAGGACCACCGCCGCCACAAGAGGAGCCCAAGAAGGAGAGAGGATGCTTGACTGCTTGGTAAGTGCCTTCTTCCAACACTGGCTGGGTGTTGTTAGGTTAATGAAGAGGGATGGAGCTAATTCGACGACTAGCCTTGCGACCTTGTGCTGCTGCTGGCTCTGCGGTGAGACATGCGAGTGCTGCCTTGATTGCCTGGACTGCTGCGACTGCTGTTAGCCGCGCTCACTACAGCATGCGACACGGTGACGACCACGGTTTAGATGGGAAAGGGATGAATACACGCTCACTACACTCTCTCATTGTAAGGGCACGGATATCCACGGGGTTTCGATGGGGGCAAAACGGTGGAAAGGTACGAGATAATGGCCTTGGTCCGTCACTGTAGTGACGATGGAGTTAAGTGGTATTGCCTTAATTTGTACAAATCTGAAATCGTTTTCCTTGTATCCGAGCGAAAGAATCACAAGTTGGCTGATCCTTCCTTCTTTGCACCATGCTAACAATACTCGTGGTTCATAAGCCCTAGAAAATACCTGTCGTTACACTCGTCATCTCTCCATTTCCCACGCACCCGATCGATCGACCGAAAGTCCTACATTTAGTCGTCGTAGTTCTCTTCGAGTTCCTCCTGATACTCCTCCTGCGCCTCGATGAGCTCCTGACGCTTCTCCTCCATGGACTCACGGTCACTACTTGAGATGGAGTCACCGTCGGCGTCATGGGTGGGAACGGGAGGGGGCTCCTCAAAGGCCGGGTGGTTATCATAGTCATTAGGGTCAGCTGGGGGAGGAGCGCCATAGGGATCAGCCCCGTAACCAGGGTCAGCACCGTAGCCGCCTGCAGCAGCAGCGGGAGCCGCCGCTGGAGGCGCATATGACTGCTGCTTCTCGTCGTCGCTGCTGTCGTCGGCTGGGATGTGTTAATCGCACTGCCGCATGTTATATACACAAAAGCAACATACCAAGTTGATGACCAATGAAGGCACCGGCTGCGATACCTCCGACACCAGCGGCGGCCAGCATGGCACCAGAATGACCCTTCTTCTTCTCGGCCTCGTTCGTGGCAGCTCCAGACTGCGTGTAGTCATGTCCCTGGTGGCCGTGGGTGTTGCCGAATAGGCCGCGCTCATCATGACCGGCTGGCGGCATGTAGGGTGCGCCTGCTGCGGGTGGTGCATAGGGACCAGGTGGCAGGTGCGAAGGAGGGTCCCATTGAGTGCGACCAGTTGCTTGCTCGATGTAGAACCATCTCTGGCTGTTTTGGTCCCATTGCTGAGTCCAGCCCGGTGGCATCGGCGGGGGCGCTCCATACGGCGCTGGTGGACCTGTGGGTGTGGGAGCACCGCCGTATTGTTGCTGTGGTGGATAGCCCTGTTGTGGGTAGCCTTGACCTTGAGGGGGATATCCTTGGGGTGGATATCCTTGACCCTGAGGAGGACCCTGAGGCGGGTACCCATGACCCTGGGGTGGGTAGCCTTGGTCTTGGGGAGGGCCGCCTTGTCCACCTCCATAGTAGCTATCAGAAAGTGCGCGATCACCAGGACCAGCACCGCCGGGAGCAGCCTGAGAATCTATCCAAATAAGTATTTAGTCTCTTTGTTTGATGTGGGTTTATTCACCGGCTGGCTTCTTGTCGTCGTCATCCATGAGCTCCTTCATCTTTTTCTTGAGGAAATCCATGGTGGTTTGTTACCTGGCAACTGTGTATTTGTCTGGTGAGAATCTCTAAGATAACAGTATGTGGGGTAGTAGGAAGCCAGAGAGAAGCAAGTATGGAGCTGATAGTATGCGCGGGGTGCGACAGGACTTTAAAGCAAATCGATCTGTGCACAGTCCGTTGCCAGCGGGGCATCTCACAGCACCCCCGGAGCGCACTGCCCCAGTTGTCTTTGAGCAAATCGCTCATGCTGTACATGCTTGGCCAGATAGAGATGGCATGAGGGGAAGCAGCACGGCTTCGAGTGGAGGGGCATGTCGAAGCTGACCACTCTACTGACAGGCGGGCAGGAAAAGTGGGGTGATGAACCGGCCTGATACGTCTGGCGGCTAGCCGGAGCTCCATGGTTTGCAAGAGTTCTATTAGTGAAGCTTGGCGTGGATATATGAGGGCCGCTTCGGTGCGCGTTCAGTGTCGGGTCGTGGAGATGTGCTCATTGACTTCATGCGACGACCCTTCGAGGACAGTTATGATTCATCTCGTTGTTCCAGTTCTTTCTTTTCTGATCTGATCGCAGTACTCAGTTTCATTAGTGTAAAATTCCTGTTCCAGTACGGAAGCGAGGGACCGCTATTGATGGACGGTGGATGGCACAGCGTGGTGTGGCTGGGTTTGGCGACGCATGCGCCATTAATGCCCTGCCACGGTGGCTAAATTTTGAGGCAGCTGCAGCCGAGACAGCTTGTGCCCCCATTGTGCCACGATGTCTGCAAACGCGAAGTGTCGCATGCTGCATGATGTCACTCGGAGATGCGATGACCTCAGCCATGCTGCACAGCCGCGCATATCTACAGATTTGTCGTCGCAAACGCGGGCGGTGGCAGGCGATAACGGCGAGGCTTTTTGATGTCAACGAGATCCTTTGAATGAGTACGAGACGAGTCGAATGAGGAAAAAGGATGGACTGCATGCGCAACTGCTTTAGACTGTTTGCGCAGCTGATATGGCACAAACGTTGATGGGGCGTATGGGTGCGGTCATGGTGCCTGGATAGAATGACAGATGGTCACGTGATGATGGTGATGACTCGAAAACATGAGGTCGGCCCGGGCCCGAACGCGGAACGGTGCGCGCACGTGGGAATGGCACAACAAGCTCACCCATGGTTGGGAGGTGCCGAGGATCAACCGATAAGTTTTACTGTGCGGTTGTCTCGTCTCTCGCGGTAGACAATGAGGTGGGTAGCAGGTGGTGAAATGTAGGGAAGGCTTGGCGATTTTCGCGTACTGTGAGCTGGAGGGAGGTGCCATCGCAAGAAAGGGGCGGCCAATTTAGATCAGCACACGGCGGAAGAAAGTATCTATTAGTGCATGTCTGGAAGCGAGTTATAAGCTAGAAGAAACATAGTTCACGATTACAACATCTCGGGCTTCTCGAAGTTTGGGTTCGAAGTTTAGGTTCAAGGTTGCGACGATGCAGAGGGTCATGTGTTGAATGGATGCGGGTCTGAGGCTCGAGTCTAGACCCGTCAGATCCATGACGTCGGGACCAGCACAGTCGCGAAGGCAGCGGTGCACTGACGGGACACAGCATTCCAGCTGCTGGGGTTTCCGGTGACGGGCATGTCAGAATGCCATGCACGGCGTCATAGCTGTCCAGGGCGTGTTGAATGTGATGCTAGGTGTGAAAAGATGGTGAAAGCGATCTCGATGGCGATGGACTGACCAGGGTGTTGCAGGGAAGGCCAAGCACAAGCGCAAGCGAGATCTACAGCTCTGGACGCTCCCGAGGTCCTGTACGCTGGCTGCACCAGAGCGACGGCTGAAAACAAATGTGCAGAGCGTCTGTCTCCATCACGATGATGCCCTGAGGACACGACACCCACCGCACTCCCACCGTCATCGCTACCGTCGCCGCGCAGCTGCACACCGACCTGCCCAGCCTCGCCATCGCGAAAGCCGCCAGCTGCCTCCGCCGTTCCCTGGTGTCATCGACTCGGCCCCTACGCGGTGAGACTCATGCTAGATCTCGAGACGACGCTCCACCACACCGACCTTTGACGTTGCAGCGTGACGTGCGGCCGCCATCAACGGCCTTCGCCCTGCCTGTCGCCGCGCATCCCAGCATTTCTTCTATGAGGGAGCCGCGGTCCATCTTCACAGGTATTGACACAGCGACGCCTCACGACACCACGCCTGAGCAGCGCAGGCTGAAGTTTGCCCTGTATCACGAGCCTCCAATTACGTCACCCACCACCCCGGACCCCCCCAGCGCCCTCGACAAAACACCCAACTTGGCCATACTGCAGCCCCCATGGACACCCAGGTCGCCGCTTGACCGTCGCCATTGCACTCCGCCGCCGGCTCCTGCGCCGCTCCACGGCGCTCGCCAGGTCATTGGCATAAAGCGCCCGCCTCCTCCCTCCAGCGACGACGCCCTCGCGCCTACATCGCCGCGCCTACGAGCACCCGCCAGCGAGCCCCTGCACAAGCGCCGAAAAGCGCACCCACGCTCGCGACACTCGCTCGACCACTTCGGCTTCTCCAAGAGCGCCCACTTCCGTCTCGACGGCCAGCCGCCCTCGCCGCTGTTCTTCTCCTCGTCGCGCAATATCCGACCGCAGCTGCCCGCGCGCTTCTCCACCTCCGAGGCCTACAGGATGCTGAGCAAGACACGCGAGGACAGTGGCATCAAGACCGTCACACTCGCACGGGGCACTTTCAGCGGCCTCAGTCCACCAGGCCCCTCGGGCGCTGCCAGTGGGCGCACTTCAGAGCGCTCGAGCCTGCCCCCCGCAGCATCGCCTGATTCCCGCGACAAGCATGATCCGTTACGCGTACTGGGTTCCATCGGCATAGTCGAGCTGCTCGAGCAGGATGAGCGGCCCACCTTCATCGTCGATACGGGCGACTTTGCAAACTACATGCCCGAATCGTCCAGCTTGCAAATACTCTTCTCCAACAGTGCCCTTCGATTCAACTCCTCCATCTGGGAGCTGGTAGCCGGCAAGCCTGCGGGCTCTCCCTCCGACCATGACACGGCACACGCAACACAACAATTCCGAGGCTGGCTGTTGAGCACTGCAGTCCAGGGAGATGGTTTCGGAGCAAACCCTTCTCCGGTAGAACACGGTGGCATTGTATGGACATGTTACACCTTGCGGAAACGGCTGCGCGTCGTTTCTGGTACCGTGTCCGCCCCTGCCATGGTTTTGCCCGCTGTAGACGGTCCCAACGATTTCGCTATACCTTCAACTTCGTCCGCAGGCCTGGAGTTGGCAGCCAACGGGGATGCTTCCGCATCCTCAACGCATCAAGACGAACCGCAAGATTACTTCGGGAGCACCATCCCTACGATCCCCCAGGGTAACCCCCAGGGTGAACCGACGCCTCCCATCTCCGCGCCCCAGCCCGAACCAAATTACAAGAAGTTCGCCGACAGAGGCAATAGCATGATTCCTAGGCTTACTCAGATCGACCTATCCTCCGCGGAAGATTCCTCTTCCTTTGGGAACGAGTGCGTATTGCGAGCTCACACTGCAGGCGACGTTGACCCGTTTCATAGAGAAACTAACACCCATCGAAATGAGCACCATGACATGGGTTTCTTCGACTGGACCAGATTAGCGATATCGCCCTCTCTTCCTAGACACATACAATTTGCCCGCTCAATCGATTGGGCATCTACACCCCTGGGTCCTATCGAATACTGGTCCAACGACCTTCGCGCAATGTGTAATCTCATCATGTGAGTTGACTATTCGGGCGCCGAATAATTGAACTTCGATTCTAATGGCGATCAGGGCGAGCCCCCATCCTGCAGCTATGTACTGGGGAGAAGAGCTTGTGGCTATCTACAATGAGGCCTATATTGGTAAGTACGCGCGTACTGACATTCAGACATCAATTAACACCTCGATCAGGGCTTGCAGGGCAGAAGCATCCTGCGCTCATGGGCCAGAGTTACAAAGTAGCCTGGGCAGAAATCTGGGATGAGGTCAAGGGAGTATTCGCAAACGCCCGTCTCACAGGGCAAGCGACCATGAAGGACGACGACTGCTTGTTTATGAAACGCAGCGGCTTCCTCGAGGAAACGTACTTCTCGTGGTCCATCATCCCAATGGTCGGCGAAGACGGCACGGTCATGGGTCTTTACAACCCAGCTTTCGAAAAGACACGGCGGAAGATTGCGGAAAGGCGAATGCTCACTCTCCGCGAAGTCGGCGAACGGACTGCCACCGCTCGGGAAGTGAAGGGTTTCTGGGATCAAGTGCTAATAGCACTCACCGAGAACGAGTTCGATACCCCGGTAGTAATGCTCTACAGCGTAAACGATGAGAATGATAGTGACTCGTCTTCCTTGCAATCCAGCAGCTTGCTTGGCTCGAAACAGTGTTTCCTCGAGGGCTCGCTTGGTGTGCCAGCCGGCCATCAGGCTGCCCCTGACCACATTGATTTGAAAGAAGGGCAAGAAGGATTCGGTCCGGTTTTCCGCGAAGTAATGAAGACCGACAAGCCCGTGGTCGTTAGCATCGGATCAACCGACCTGCCACATGCCATGATGGACGGGCTCGAATGGCGAGGTTTTGGAGACCCCTGCCGCGACGTGGTCATCTGCCCGATCCATCCCACGACTGGTGAAAACATACTTGGCTTCTTGGTCATGGGCATAAATCCGCGAAGGCCTTACGACGATGATTACAACCTCTTTATCCAGCTACTAAGTCGCCAACTTGCGACTTCTCTGGCTTCCGTCGTTTTGTTCGAGGAAGAAATTCGACGGGGGCAGAGGGCAGCCCGGCTCGCAGCGGAAGACCGTTACAACCTCTCTACACAGCTTGCTGCACGTACACAAGAAGCCAGGGAAAGCGAGACGAGATTTACGCGGATGGCTGAGTTGTCTCCTGCAGGTCTCTTCATTGCTGACCACGTTGGGCGCATCACCTACTGCAACGACACGTGGTATGAGATTGCACGAGTGCCAAGAGAGCCGGAGATGACCGACAGATGGATTGACTATGTCAAAGACGAGGACCAAGACCTCATTCTCGCGCACTGGAAGGAACTAGTAAACAACACCACTCCTATCAACATAGAGTTCCGATTCAAAGCGCCTTGGGAGGACCGCAACCGGAACAAGAGCGAAACGTGGGTCCTGTTCCAGGCGTACCCCGAGAAAGATGAGGATGGGCAGCTGAAGAGTGTTTTCGGAAGCATCACGAACATTTCTCCACAGAAGTGGGCCGAGGGTTTCCAAAAGAGGAAAATGGAGGAAGCCGTTGAGCTCAAACGACAGCAAGAGAACTTTATCGACATTACATCGCACGAGATGAGAAGTATGATACGGCCGTGTACGAAAACTCTTTTTGTACTGACTACGATTTAGATCCCCTGTCTGCTATCCTGCAATGTGCCGACGAGATCAGCACCATCTTGGGCGATTTCAGAGCGTCAGGCTCCAACGTCATTGACGAGACTGTTGTTGCTGATTCCATAGACGCGGCGCAGACGATTGCTTTGTGCGCACAGCATCAGAAGCGCATCGTCGACGATGTTTTAACGTTGTCAAAGCTCGATAGCGCAATGCTGATGGTACGAACACGATTTGCATATTCACGACATCTTTTCTAACGAGTGCGTCAGGTAACACCGGTCGATGCTCAACCACTACAGGTCGTACAGCGCGCCCTGAAAATGTTCGAAGGAGAAGTTCAAACTGCTGGAATTCAGATGGAGTTTGTCCTTACCGACTCGTTCACCAAATTAGGTGTCGATTGGGTGAAGATTGACCCGTCTCGGGTGCTTCAAGTTCTCATCAATCTCACCACCAACGCGATCAAGTTCACTACCACCGAGGAAACCCGGACCATCAAAGTCGTATTATCAGCATCGAGAGAGCGACCGTCAGCAAGCGATCACCCCACCGTTAGCTACTTCCCCATGCGAGCCAAGAGGACCGACCAAACTTGCGGTCCGGACTGGGGCGATGGTGAAGAGATCTATCTGGAGTTTGCAGTGCGAGACACAGGCCGAGGTCTTACGCCGGAAGAAAAGAAGCTTCTCTTCCAACGATTTTCCCAAGCAAGCCCTCGAACGCATGTCCAATACGGCGGCTCAGGTCTTGGTCTGTTCATCTCACGCGAATTGACTGAACTCCAGGGTGGGGAGATTGGCGTCTCTTCTGAAGCAGGCAAAGGCAGTACCTTCGCTTTCTATGTCAAGTGTCGAAGAAGCAGTGAGCCACAAGAAGCTCTCGAAGTTCTTCCAACGCCATCCATGTCCAGGAAGGTTTCAAATGCGAAGGATAAGGGCAAGAGGGAATTGCCTGCGCCGTCCAAGATTGCCACTAAGATAAAAGACTTTGCGAACATACCTGCCAAAGATGGCGTTGCGTCAAAGCCGAAGCCAAAGAAGAGGGAACTCAAAGTGTTGATCGTAGAGGATAACCTTGGTATGTCATTGACGGTTCCCCTGCCGATTTACTTCTACTAACACGATACAGTGAACCAAAAAGTACTTCAGCGGCAGCTCCACAATCACGGTATCCAAACGACCGTCGCGAACCACGGCGGCGAAGCACTCGAAGCGCTCAAAGCGTCCACCTTTTGGGCCTCGCCCCAGCAGTCCCCGCTAGAAGACATATCGGTGGTGCTAATGGACAAAGAAATGCCCGTCATGGACGGTCTACAATGCACCTCTCAAATCCGCTCGCTCGAACAACAAGGCAAGCTCAAGAGACACGTCCCCATCATCGCCGTCACGGCGAACGCACGCAGCGAACAAATCGCAACATTACTCGCAGCCGGCATGGACGACGTCGTCAGCAAACCCTTTAGGATAGGCGAGCTGATCCCCAAAATCGAAGAGCTGGCAAGCAAATTCGGAAACAAGAAGATACCAGACGAAGCTACGCTCGCTGTGCCCGTTGGGCCGAGTGTGAAACCATATGGTGTATGAAAGAGATGGCGTTACGATTTCAGCAGTTTGGACTCATGGACTGCGCGGTCGTTCTCCGACGCTACGGTTATGGCGGTGGGCATGCATACCATGATGGCGTTAGGGAGTTGGAACTTGCATGGAAGCGGTATTACTAGCATGTACTTTGGCATCGGCGTGTCTGTTGTTTTTGTTTACTTTTACCGTTTTTGGGTCCATTGGTAAATATGCATATGGAATATACCCCAGGGGAGGTTAGGCGTTTTGGTCAATGGATGGTATATAGGCATATGCACTAGGATAGTTTGTGCAATGGATAACGAAGACCATATGTTGGCGACTGAGTGAGGGACATGATCCTGGGAATGTGAGTGCTGGTTCTATTGCCTTGACGCCATCCGTCCGCGCGGATGTGTGAGGTGGACAGCGAGGTCATGGCAGGGTAGGTAAGGCGTGAATGGGTTCATCTCTGGTGGTGAGGCTGTTTACTGGGTGAGGCGTTACATCACAAGTCGGTGCAGCTTCATGCCCCTTCCATGTCGATAGACTGCGCTGTCTTACCACACGCTGTTTGCTCTCACCTCACCTGATCTCGGAAGGAGCGCCCGTGCCCCACTAGTCACACCTTCTCCGACTGCGCGATCCAACGCTGTGATCTTCCACACCTCGCGACAGGCGGCCAAGGGACGTTCCTTACTCACACAGAAGAAGTCCAACAGCGATTACACAAAGCCATGCCGAAAGCGAGCATCAGAAAGCGGCGTCAGCCCGACCGCAAAGCCAAGAAGAAGGCTGCGAGGGAGCAGATGGGCCAGAGGAAACTGAAGAATGGAATGCATGATGCTGCCCCGAATAGCTACTACCTCGCCAAGTAAGTGAGGTTCTGTGGGTTATGAATCTGACTAACAATGCTTCAAGAGCCCAGCGGAACGCAAACAAGTCAGCACTCTTGCGCCTGCCTCCGGAAATTCGACGTAGGATATGGTCATTGGTCTTGCAAGTGTCTCGTAACTTTTCCGATACTGTTGAAATCGCCACGAGATACTATCCGATTGGACCCGTTACCCACCCTAGAATGACCGTACTTCGAACTTGCAGGCAAATCCATGCTGAGACCTGTCTGCTCCCCTATGCTGTCACTACCTTCTGCTTCTATGAACCTGAGGCTTTCGAAGAATGGGTAAAGAATCGACTGCCTGAGCAGAAAGCTGCTGTAGAGCGGATTGCAATCTTTTGTTCCGATTGCACAACGATACCTCTACGCTGGCTGCCAAGCTTGAAGTCTGTGGATGTATATTGCATCTGCGACGGGAACTGCCCTGACTGGTTGGAGAGGGGCGAGGCTATCCTGGACGCTTTGGAAGCTAGCTGGGGAAATGATGATCTCGAGGTCAGGTTCCTTTCCGGCTCTGGTAACGGTTCTAATTGAAAATGAGACGATGTATCCTGTAAGTCCTACTGCAATGATCCGCTATCTCATCGACTAACATGTTGCAGTCCAGAGCTGTGGTAATGCAACGGAACAGCGGGTCTGCTTTCTACCTCGAAGAGCAAATGCACCCACATGAAATGAGGCGAACGGTCTCGAAGAAGCGCCACTGAACTCTGGGGAAACTAAAAGTTCACATTAAAGTCATATCGTGTTCATGATTTTCTGCGGTTCATTGTTTCCGCGTTCGATAACATGCTTTTGGCAGTCCCATTCCATTGGTCACACAACGAGGTTTTCACATCTATGACATTCCTTATTCGATATGATTTTACACTGCGTGGGTTTGGTATGGGTTTCAAAAGTTGGGCGGAGCCCGTTAGCGCTAGGCATTTGCTGAACCGTGGGATGGAGGTAAGGGGACCAAAGTATGGCTTGCTGAGCACCCAAAGTCTCTTCACTCCATATCTGCACTTTCTTTTATTAGGTTCCTATAAGTCAGCTTCCTCGGCGACATATCGACTTTACAGAAGTTTCGTGGGTACAACTCATAGGCTTCTACCGGTCGGTACCAGTGATTGAGCCGGTCAGAACTATACGAAGCGTAAATACTAAAAAAGCCAAGCCCATATTCGAAAACCGGGCTGCCGACATGATGATTCGGAATGAGAGACGCGGCGATTTGCCACCGGTTCGTCGCCTTCAGGACGATATGGTAGATGTGACGCCATTCGGCACATACGCGGCGATGTAAGTAGAGCCGATATGGTCCTAAGCACAATAAAGCCCTCTCAGTATACCTGCTAAACAATTCAGCACCGAGGAAAACATGCGGGACTCACCTTTGCTCCTCCTACCTCGAGAGTTGCGCGATTACATCTGGGAATATGTCCTCGGTAGCTACCTCATCTTCAACACTCAACCCGAAAGGCCGCTCGCTATGTCCCATGACTCAGACCAGTACATCAAACACCCTCTAGCTATCCTGTGCGTCTGTCGTTCGACATACGCGGAAGCGCGCTTCATTCCCTTCGCCATCAACAACTTCTGGTACAGGCCTACATACCCGCCGATGCCAAGCGATGTAAACGAGTGGTGGCGGAAGTTGATGCCTGCACAGTTCAACGCCATTCGTACCGTTTCAATGCATCTCGGAAAAGATATTGCCGATACTGATATTCTGAAAGTGGAGGCTTTGGCGCCTTTGGTGGGCTTGAGGAGGATTGTATTCAATGTTTATGCGGGCTACACGGGGAGTTGGAGAGACATCACTGATGAGAGATTCCAGTTGATGAAAGATAAGCTGGTTAAGAGGCTTGAGGAGGTGCTGTGTGCAGAGAGAGTGGCGATCATCTTCCAGACATGATAAGGTAGGTGGATGTATTCGCCGCGGTGGAGCACATTCACCAGAGATAATGAGGCTAACACGAAATTTAGGCAATAAACAATCTCTTTTGTTCTTTCTTGTTGCCTCATAGATGAATATTGTTTAAACACACCCTTCGTATCCCCGGTGCTCTCCCCGCAGAGATCCCCTCTTTCAGGGTCTTTTTCGACGGGTTCAACAGTTTCTCCATCCCCGCACTTACCAAGATCGCTAGACTCTGACAGCTACGAAATGGGACGCGCCAGTGCGGCTTTCAATGCATCCGGGGCCAAAGGGTCTGCTGTTCTCGTATCCATGCGGTCTGGTCAGCTAGCAGTGATGTTGCGGTCTACTTGCTACGACGCCGATAGCCGAGCGCACAGTCTAGTATACGATAGTCAAGACCGTTCGAGCAATCTTTGGCGAGCATGCGGGCTTCTGCGACGCAGTTGCATTGTGTCGGTTGCATGTGATGTCAAATGCACAGTTCGGTGCCTCTTCCGTTCAACTTACACCTGCCTCTTTGGCACTTGGAATGATGCACGTTGAAGTACCCAGGTAGGTGGGTACGATCGGATGACCCCGTACCTGTTCTATGGCACAACTCTTGAAAATCATCACCACAACCGGCCAAGCTTTGTGTAGTAGAAGGTGCGGGCCGCATATGGCAGCGGCTACGGAAGGCAGTCCGGATCGCTGCCCACCAATAGGATGATCAAGCGTACTTTAGCTTGGTGCGGCTGAGCTCAATATCTCGCTGTACGAGAATGATTACTTTGATCTTGATCTACACCTTCTGTGGCGGGCTAGGTTTGTAGATGTCTGCATGTGGGCTATGAGGAACGGCGCAGTGATGTTTCGTGCGTTCGCCTAATCGAGCAAGATTACGACGGGTAGGTTTCGCAATGCATACCTTTTGGGACCTCTAGGCGTGACATGCAGTCGATCTCTCATTCTGGTAAGTTCATGGTGTATGGGATGGTGTATCTGGGTGAGCAGTCGTGAATGCGGTCGCAGTATAAGTATCCTTCTGTCCACTCCAATTTCTCATTGTCGCAACAAGCAACTCTCATCCAAGAACTTTCACTTATTCCCTTCGATCTCCAAATCACCACAAACATGCGCTTCAACTCCATCATCGCCGCCGGTGTCATGCTCTCGGGAGCTGTCGTCTCCGCCGCCGAGTGCAGCTGCTACGGTCTCTGCACCCCCGGTCAAGCCGGATCTCGCAACTCGCTCTACGCTGCTCGTCAACACGTCTGCGGCGACGGACTATACAAAAACGATGGCGGATATAAGGTTCCGGGTGGAGGTTATCTCTCTTGGCCTGGAGGCTTTGACCAACAGAGATGCTGGGACGCATTTGAGAATATTCTTAACCAGTGCCGCCCCGAGGGTGCAGGCCTTGGTAACCATTGTGGGTCCTACAACTGGTACGGAAAACTCTACAAGGTGGCAGGATGTAAGTCATATCTCCCTTTCTAATTCGTTTTATATCGTAAAGTCCATTGCTAATGTATGTCTTGCGACACAGGCGCTTAGTACGACCAAGAAGCGACAGGATACACCTTGCTGCAATACACATCCACTAAAGTCGGGGTGAACTGATAAATACATTATTGAGAGGAACCAGAAATGTATATGGTTGTTGTGTCACGTAGAGGAAATTCTTCTCAGAAACCATTCAGCTGAAATGAAACCTCGCTATTGAACAACTTGCACTGCTCATATAGTCAATGTGAGTGTGGTTTTAACGTTCATTGTTTCCAATTATATGGAAGCTATTATCTAGTCTTCAGAGTGCAAAAGAAATGTGCCGTTGTGTGTAACCAAGGAAGGTTGGCAACATGTTCTCATGACTTGCTCGGCCACATGCCAAAACCGAAGAAGTCAAGATGCTCCGCAAGTCATCATCATCCGCCAGTTTTTTTCTCTCAGTATAATACAAGTGGCCAAGAGACGAAGTCTGCCTCCCGGTAGCGGTGCTCATAGACTATCTTCACACCTGTAGATACCACTTCCTCAATGTAGCCCTTCAAAACCGTCTTCACGTCTTCGAACCAACGCTCAGCATTTGGGTGCTCCATGTTCAAGTAGAAAGTGACCTCTTTTAGACTAGAGAAGGCTTTCAAGCCCTCTAGCCTTCTTACATCGAAGTCCCCAATCACTGGTAGCTCTTTCCTGGTTCGGATCGTGATAGGGAAGGAGATATAGCGGATGCACTCCCACTGCGGGCGCAGAAAGAGGGGCTTGCATGCGTTTAGCGAAGAGATGGTATAGTACCAGTACTCATTGGTAGAGAAGGGAAGCAGCGCTGTCTCGTTGTAGACTTGACGGCAGGTATGCTGGAAAAGAAACGGTGGATACACAGAAGATGCTCCTTCGTGAGTGCCGTTTTTGATAGTAATCGTGGCCCTATCACAGGGTCCAGCTCTCATGAAGACGTGTAGACCATTGTTGACGTAGACAAAGATCTTATTGCGCACTTCGGCCGGGAGACGGAGTAGAGGCGAGCTAACGCTGTTCTGTTGTGTACTTGAAGACGTCAGCAAGTATAAATACATCGTACAGTCACAAACTTACATGGCCATGACATCGGTCGTAGGTGGTGTGGCATCCAGCATACCATCACCGTTGTCGTTGAGACGGAGCTTGCCTTGGGAGATCGCCTCGGCTTGATTGTCGATTGCCCTTCGGTGGCCGTACTGCATAGCTGTAGAAGTCGAGCTGATGTGTTGTTGTAGAGTAATTTGCGAGCAACGAGTGGAGTAATCGCGGCGGTGGATGATTCGCTAGTGTTGTACCCAGTTGAGAATGAGCACGACTGGCTTGGTTTCAATTCCTGGAATCTCTAAAAGAATAACCATATACTGCTGCATACTGTGAAACAACATGTTTAGAAAATGCAGCTGCATTGCGATTATGTACAGTGTTACTTAATTGCGTTGTGCTCGCGTTTTCGCACCAGCACTTTCAACAAAGCAGCCTTGAAATCATGAGCACGACGACTCGTCGGAATGAAAGCGTTTGAACCGGCACTCGGAGTACAAGTGAACCCGATAACAGTCCGCGTGAATGAGTAGGTGAGTGATCGAGTCTGCATGCGGTTAGCATGATGGACCCTGGGCATATTTGTTTACAATGCTCATCGGTCTTGTACCCTCAATCTTTCCTCTCATTTCCTATCGATCGACCGACGCGTTCCGACAAAGATGGCGAGGCCAAAACCAAGGATGTTCGACAACATGACTCAGGCCCCGAAGCCGACGAGAAAGATTTGGCCGGACAGGGCGATTTCAACGTTCGAAGCAAACGAGATGTGAGTACCCGTTGCACCTCGTGCAAGGAAATCACTCAACACTCTGGAGTCTACATTAACACTAGATCTTCCGATTTGCTGGTTCCGTCATGATGTAGCCTACAGAGGTAACGAAATCAGATCTAAGCGCAACTCTATCGAGTCTCCTCTCCTGCGACTTCCAGCTGAGCTACGGAATCAGATATATGAGTATGAAGATCCCGGCGCATGCTTCCACAGAGTTGTACTGACATATTTCACCCTTGACAGATACTCTGTGGGCGGTCAGACTTACGATATCTCGTCTCGCGGTTATGCGGTCGGCAGCGTCCCCTATCTACATCTCGTCTGTCGTCAGATCTACAACGAGACCTCCACGCTACCGTTTTCTCTCAACGTCTTCTCTTCCAGGACTCCGTTTAGCCTATCACATTTCATACTTCCGCTGTCGTCTTCTCAGCGCAATGCTATCAGGACGATTCAGTTCGTTCTAACAGGCAAAACCGGGGCTTCGTACGAGCTCTGGACGAATGACCCCGCAAGTGCAGGCCATGCGAGCATACTGGAAGGACTACAAACAGTGCTCATCGTATGGATTTGCCGAAAACGATCCCTCGGTGCAGAAGAAGAGGAAATTCGAGAACTACAGAGGGTAGTGGGATTCTGGAGAGCAGATATTACTGTGCGCAAAAGCGAGTAGTATCACTGTTAGTGTCAGGAGTTGGAGAACCTTTGCGGTCCTCTCCGAATGTCAAATGTTGAGCTTGGCAAACGGTGGCTGAAGTGCATGTCGCATACATGCTGTCAAATTCCGACGACTGAACAATTCCTAAGGTCATGTATACTTCTACCTTCAGATCCCTTTTTGGTGGACTGCAACACGCATCGTTTCCAGTCCCGATGACGGTCGCGCAAGCACACACTCACGATGTGACATGAATTGGGAGCTGACTCAAAATGACGACGAAGAGTCAGCGCATCGAAACCGCCTTGCCTGGTCGAGATACCTCGGTCAGTCCGTATTCACATGCGCGTATATATGAAACGTGGAACACTGGTCACATGTGCTAGTAAGGTATATAGCATGAATATTAAATCTTTGTAAAGTCGTAACCAACCAATAAAGAAGAAACGTGTAGAACCCCTCTCAGCTCCGCCGCGCCCGCCACCACTTGACGAAGTCGCGTCGTAATGTGGTCTTGAGATGCTCATTGAAGCCATACGTGATGGCGTTCGCGAACCCAATGTACTGCGTTGAGCATTGCAGAATACTCAACGCATAGCTGGGATGGCCCGCAGCTTCCACCAAGCGGTTGAGAATACCAGGTAACCAGAGTATGATGTACAAGATGGGGTACGCGTTGAGAAGCAACATCCTCTTGATTTCTCGCTCGACCTTCTTTGTGCTGGTGCCGGTCTGCTGATTACTTCCCGATTCGTGGGGTGCGCCCGACTCGTAAGCCCCGGATATTGGCGCGGGATGGTTGCTGATCATGCCGATGCTGCGCTTCTTATCTGAAGGCGCAGTTGTTTCTGACGGGAAGGCTGGTAACCATTAGTATTGTCACGTTGTAGTTAAGCGAGATGCTCGTGCGCATCTACATAGGGAAGGACATACCTGATGCGGTTTGGAAGTAGGGACTCTTGGGTGACATGGGTGGGGATAGTGTGGTGGCGCTTTTGCGGCTGTTTGTCTCCAGGTCGCTGGCTGTGAAGATGATGTCTTCTTTTGCGAGGTTGGGGTCGCTCATGCCATCGGAGTGTTTTACCTCGTAGGCGTACTCCACGTTGATCTCGTGTAGCTCCGTCTGCGATTCGCTCCTCAGCTCGTGGGCGTCGTCTCGGCGGAATTCGCGGCGCTTGGCGGCGCTGGCCTGGTTGTAGGACCCTCCTTGGCTCATGGAGTGCAGTTGCGAAAAGTGCCGACGCATGTAGATCCAGATGTAGATGTAGATTCCAATCGTTCCGAAGATGATGCTAAACCTCCAGCCATGGCCCAGGGCATAGCGAAGGTCAGTTCGCGTCCCCGATATCCAGCACCAGTTTCCGCTGACAGGGCTCAACTCGTTCAATCCTGCGGCTGTACTCGCTGTTCATTCCGGTCAGCCTTGCGTTGATGGATGTGCATCTAAGAGCTTACCTGTGATGGTGGGAATGACCCAAACGGAGCCGCAAATGAGCATCTTGCTCATAAGGGAGGCATTGGGCATGTACGTTTTGCGGGTAATCGTAGTGAGCGTTATGATAGCAATGGCCAGGATAGAGAAGTCAGCGGCTTGAACAGACCACTGACCTACCCAGCCATTGAGGTTACACGCCGCACCCGGTGCAATGGAACCTTCGTTCGCAATTGCATAGATCCCAGATATTGAATTGTTCAGCGAATTGATAAATTCTGGTATGCGTGGTCAGTCTAGAGATCTGATCTGGTCGTCAAGAGCTCTTACCAGCCAAAGCAAGGTTCAATACCAGTGCGTGACGGAAAGACCGTTGCGAGTCTGCGTACACAACGTACGATATGAGAACGCACGCTGTGGCAACAAAAGACAGTAGACTGCCGACAAGCGTCGGGATAGCAATGGTGAGATTGAAAGGCATGCTGAGCGGTTGCTGGGATGCAAGGCTGACCGACGGGACGGCGCGATTATATGTCTGGGTTTCACGATGAGACCGGCGAACGTACTTGGCTTGAGGTAACTATAGCACATGAAGCTATAGTACATAGGAGACGCACCACGCGCCAGGAACGCTCCAAATCCTAGGCCGATTCCTGCAGCCCAAGCATTGCTGCTAATCGACACACGGGCGCGTGACTACGGTTGATTTCTTTAGCCAGGCATTCAAAGGGCTGCTCTGAGCTAAAGGTTGGTGCCTGTAGCAGCTGTGGTGCAAAGTTTATGGCTGGTTAATGGTCTGAGTCCCGCCTCCCGCGAGTTTGGCCTGCGACTCCAGGACGAGTCGATTGCAGGCGTTTCAAGCTCCGAACGCCTCTAGAATAACCAAGTGCCTGGCTACGCAAGCGTCTGCAGGTGGTGTACCAAGCTTCCAGAAGCCATGACCGATCGTGTGCATAGGTGCCATGCATCGCGGCCTTGCGTGGCCGTTAGCATTTCCGGAATGCTGACCTCTGAATGGTGAATTACGATGGCAAAAGACTGTAAGCCTTGCGCTCGGCTTGCGACTGGACGATCGCAAGGTTAGGACCGATAGTGCGCGGTCGATGACAGCATGAGCTGGGGTTTAGGTTTGCGCAAGCTCGCTATTCTTGCCGAGGTGAGGGCTGACCAGTCACCATTGGCTTGGTACCGTACCCATAACGTCAACTGCCTTTGTGCCATCCTCTCATCTGGGAAGGAGCAATAAACACCACGCCACACCCGCATCCAGGAGACGTACTGCAGTGCAGAGATGGACCAGGTCCTCTAGACTTGCGCGCCGTATACGTAGCGCGAAATTCACCCTTAATACGCTGTCAACTTTTGCAAATGCGCTACATTCTCCCCAGGCGGTGCTGGTGGCCGCGCAAATCGCATGCCAGTGTTTCTCGTCGCCATAGATGAACCTGTGGACCGTCCCGCGTGCTAAATGTAGTGCCGGACATTTGTCTTCTTTTTTGGACTGACCCTACTTACGCGATGTTACAGAGTTGAGGTTCATGTAGATCCTGCTTTCGTTCTCTCGTTCAGCGTTCGCTGCGAGGTCCGCGCTCTTCTGGTGGAGGGAACTCCGATGACGATGCCCGGGCATCTGGGGGATCTTCCCGCAGCCGTCGGAGTCCAGGATCGCAGAAACTGTCCTAGGTTCAGCGGCGTCGTTGGAATTACTGAATTCGCAATATCGATGCACCAACAGCTCGCTTCGCACCCGCCAACCCGGACGGTGTCGAGTTGTGGGGACGATGAGGTACTGTAGACGAACGGTTCAGCCTCGCCGAGGGTGCAACGCAGCTTGGCAGTACAGAGATTCGGGACTCTACATAGTCGCTATTTCCGTGGACCTCGATGCACTTGCGCAAGGAACGTTCCTTGTTATTGCGATGAACAGGATTGCAAGGTGTACGAAACTCTACCTCGAGAGTTGCCGTCGTGCATATTGGGAGACATGAAGGATGGCGGCCCAAGCACGTTAGATGGCAGCTGTCCTGTAATTTTGACACTCTAATGCAGACAAATCAAGCTTCATACCTCGTTGTTGGCGTCGCGATCTGCGTCAAGATCTGCAAGGCCTCCAGGCTGCAAGGCGTGCCACAACGTTCTTCCAATTCTCCTAAACTTGACTCTTGTTGTTGAAGCGCTGACAAGTAGTCAAGGCGCATCGAAGCTCGAGACAGCACCAGGCACCCGCAAAAAGGAGTGCACTCAGGGAACGGAACGATTTAAGGTTTGCCGCATTTACCCAGGTTTGCCCAGTCGGAATCCCACGCCATCCCCCAGCTCGGCCGGGTGCATGGCCAATGCTGCAACCCCGAGGAGAAGTAGGGAGCTTGAGCGCTGGCTCAGGGTCTGCTAGCTACAAGTCCAGAACCACTCCGGACGAAAACAATGCCAATGCGAGTCATGCGACCCAAAGGCTGTTGGATTTCGCATGCGCAAATCGAAGCTGATGAGGGGGGGGGGGGAAGGAGATGAGCGTCCGCACGAATTCCCACCACCTAGAAGCCGGCAGCCGTGGTATCTCCGGTTTCACACTCATAGTATAGCTACTTTCGGCACCACTAAACACACAAATTAATTGTCAACTCGAGATGCAGTAAAAGACACCCCGCGGAGCTGATGCTATTATGATCGAACACCCAATCGGCTTGGATGCCACACCAAACCTTAGCGCATCACGATCAAAGACCTAATAAACCCTCGCACTATACCGAGGCTCAGGACGTCATAAGGCAAAGTCCCAAAAAATCTCACCAAGCTACGCCTTCAGCCCAGGACGTCATGAACAGAGGCCTAACAACTTCACATGCCTCACCGAGGCTCAGGATGTCCACGATCAGAGACCAAGTGGACACTATGGGCACACATCAAGAACTTGCTGAATACATATGCCACGCCGAGCCTTGGCGCATCGTGATCAAAGACGCAACGCATTTGCTAGCTACACCTCAGTTCAGGACGTATTGGTGACGACATCGCTCTCAGTACGGCATATGAGACTGTCGAGCAAGACCGCAAGTGACACCTCAGCTCTCGACGTCCTGAGCAAAGGGCGCAACTATCTCACTGTCTACTTGGCACACTGAAGAGCTAAAGGCTCAATAGTCTCACTTCTTCACAACACAGCATGATAGAGGCGAGGATGAAGTTTCAAGAAACCATAATTAGAACTGACTAACTAACAACAACTATCATACAACAATCGTCCCCTGATGGCCACCAACAACAGAAACGCCAATGCTTGCTAAAACTATCGCAGATTTTAAGGTGTGCAACAAAGGAAAACCCGGCTGGTCTAGCCAAAGATGCGCGCGTCCTCCCGTGGCCTTTGGGAGTCGTGGCATGATGATGTGTGTCGGAAAACAACAAAACAAGAACGCTGATTTTTGAACAAGCAAAAACAAGGAATTCATGCCATCATCGGACCAGATACCCAGGTGAAGTTGCAACCATCCAAACCGTCAGTGGAAAGCAGCGCAGACACGCCTGCATTGTAATCCCCACTCTTCCTCTTCCTTCGGCAACAAAAAGGTGTGACCTTCAGACCCCCCGATCTTCCAATCTCTTGTGTTGTCGAAATCCAATGGTGGAGGGGGAAGCAAGCAGGAAACGTCTGCAAACTTCCGTGGCGATGAACGATGACAACGACGACCCAGGTAGGAGGTCGTGGTATCATATGCAAAAAAACAGACAAACAATCTTGAACCAAAGGTGTGAGTAGACATTACTTCGTCTCAACTCATCCCCATAGACATCGTCAAGATGTCTATTTCTTGCCGAGGAGGCCACCGACCATGCTCATGGGACCAGAAGCTCCCTTCTTCTTGTCCTTCTTGTCGCCGCCACCGAGCATGTCGCCCAGGCCGCCGAGACCAAGACCGCCGAGTAGCTTGTTGATACCAAGGCCACCCAGAAGTCCGTTGACGAGACCACCGAGACCAAGACCGTTGAGCAGCTTGCCAACGAGGTTGAGTACACCCGTCAACAGCAGACCAACAGCAGCGATGATCTGGAAGAGGGGCTCAGTGAGCAGGGACCAAAGAGGGTTGAGCTTCTTCTTGGCGTGGGGCATGTCGGAGATCTTCTTCTTCGCGTTGTCGATGGTGGTGACGACGGAGGTGGTGAGCTCCTTGAGGTTGTCGGCGAGCTTGTACTCCTCGGGTGAGGCTTCGCCGGTTTGCTGGCGGCCCTTGGCTTGGGCGGCGATGCGGCCGTCTGGGTCGAGACCGCGGAGCGAGCCGTTGCAGTCGTTGAGGATGCGTGAGCCTTCCTCGATGAGGGGCTTGACGTTGTTGACAAGCTCCTCTTCGTCGAGCTCGTCGCGGGGTGTGCGGTCGGCTTGCTCGATGTGCTGGATGGGTGTTAGTATATGTTCGAGATGGTGATGCATGGGTGAGTAAAACATACCTCAGTAATCTGCTTCATGACAGGCTGGACACGCTGGAGAGTGTCTTCGCAGATGGCAGACATCTTCTTGGCGAGTTCAGAGTCCTCGCGACGCTGCCTCTCCTCGTCGGTCTCATCCTCATCTGGTTCCTCTTGGATGTTCTCCAGAAGAGTGACCTCGCCGACCTTGTTGCCGTCGTTGTCGACAACGTAGCCGTTGTCATCAATCTCGAGACCAGCGCAGTGACCAAGATCACCAGCAGTGAGACGGCCAACAACATCACCGTTCTCGTCGCGGACCTCACCCTCCTTGTTGACACGCATGCCAGCCATGGGGTTGACGCGGCGCTCCTTCTCCTCGGGCTCCCAGCGCTCGGCCTTGCCGATGACGTTGCCGTTCTTGTCGTTGATGTCGCCATCCTCATCGACCTTGTGGCCGACAAGCTTCTTGACATCGCCCTCAGTGACGCGACCGACGATGTCACCAGCGGGTGTCTGGACGGTACCGTCCTTGACCACAGTGGCCTCATCGAAGCCAGCGAAGGGACCCTCGGGTCCTGGGTTCTGACCGTGGGAAAGCTCACCACGTCCGATGACGTTGCCTTCGTTGTCCCAGATCTGGCCCTTGCCGTCAACCTTCTTGCCGGCAAGGGTAGCTGGGTCACCCTCAGCAACGCGGCCGAGAACAGTGCCGCTGGAGTCGACGATGTTTCCAGCCTTGTTAACAGTGCAGCCAGCAAGGGCAGAAAGGTCGACCTCCTCTTCTTCCTCCTCAGACCATGGCTCAGCATGGCCCTTAACATTACCGTACTTGTCGATGATGTCACCGTCTTCATCGACAGTGTGACCCACAAGCCTCTTGGGGTCACCTTCGGTGAGCTGACCGACACGGTTGCCGTCGTTGTCGTCGACAAATCCGTCCTTGACAACACGAAGTCCCTCGAATCCAGCGAATGGGCCCTCCTTGCGCTCGGGGCGCTCGTTGGGAGGAATGATGTCACAGCGACCGACAACCTTGCCGGTGTCACCGTGGATGAGACCATCGCCGTCGGACTTGCGTCCAGCAAGTTCGCCAAGGTTACCCTCAACGAGCTTACCGACGGGAATGCCTTCGCCGTTGACGAGGTAGCCCTGCTTGTTCAAGGTGAGACCGTCGAGAATGGAAAGGTCGGCGGGCTCCTCTTCCTCCTCTTCCTCGAGAGGCTCAGCGTGGCCCTTGACGTTGCCGTACTTGTCAAGAATGTCACCATCCTCGTCTACAGCCATGCCAACAAGACGCTTGGGGTTGCCCTCAACAATCCTGCCGACAGTGTTCTCATCCTCATCAGCAACCATGCCGCCTTGAATGACGCGGAGTCCCTCAAGTCCAGCAAAGATGCCTTCAGGCTTGCTCTCACGCTCGTTCTCGGGGATGAGCTCGCAACGACCGATCTGCTTGCCAGTGTCGTTGAAGATGAGACCCTCTTCGTTGATCTTGCGGCCTGCAAGCTCCTTGGGGTTGCCTTCGACGAGGCGTGCAATAGGCACGCCTTCGTCTCCGATGACGTTGCCTTGCTTGTTGACAGTCTTGCCAGCAAGGATAGACAAGTCCTCAGGCTGCTCCTCTTCAGGAGCCTCCTCCTCGGGCTCTTCGTAGCGTTCAGCGTGGCCGACAACTGATCCCTTCTTGTCAAGGATATCACCGTCCTCATCCACGGAACGGCCAACGAGCTTCTTGGCGTCGCCCTCGGTGACCTGACCAACGCGGTTGCCCTTGTCATCCTCAACGAAGCCATCCTTGACAACGACGAGGCCGTCAAGACCGGCGAAAGGAGCTTCCTCTTCGCCTTCTTCCTGAGGAATGGTCTGGGCGCGGCCAATGACGTTGCCCTTGTTGTCCCAGAACTGACCCTCGGCGTCGCAGGAGGTACCGGACTTGGAAAGCTTCTTCGCGTCACCTTCGGTAAGCTCACCAACGACGTTGCCGTTGGAGTCGATGAGCTTGCCGGACTTGTTGACGGTGAGACCATCAAGGATGGAGAGGGGAGGACGGCCGTCATCTTGAGCCTCCTCAGCAGCGTCTTCGGCATCCTCAGCAGCATCCTGAGCGTCCTCGGCGGCGTCTTGAGCATCTTCAGCGGCATCCTCAGCCTCGCCGACCTTCTGCTCGACCATCTTGGGGAGGGCCTTGACCTTTCCGATGACGTTACCGTCCTTGTCAAGAACCTCACCCTTGTCGTTGATCTTCTTGCCAGCGCACTCGGAAGCCTCGCCCTCGGTAAGCTCACCGATAGGCTCGCCCTCCTCGTCGAGAACCTGGCCCTTCTTGTTGACCTTCAAGCCCTCAAGCTCGTTGATGTCTGGGGTGACCTCAACTTCCTTGACCTCCGGTTCTTCGGGCAGCTCGGAGGCCTCAACCATCTTGGGCAGAGCCTTGACCTTGCCGAGCACGTTGCCGTCCTTGTCGACGACCTCGCCCTTGTCGTTGATCTTCTTGCCGGCGCACTTGGCAGGGTCACCTTCGGTGAGCTCACCAATGGGCTCGCCTTCCTCATCGAGAACTTGGCCCTTCTTGTTGACCTTGAAGCCCTCAAGCTCATCGATCTCGGGGGTGATCTCCTTCATCTCGGGCTCACCCTCCTCTTCGCCCTGCTCCTCCTCAGCCTCCTCGCCTTCAAGGGGCTCGCCGAGCTGCTCCTTGAGCTCCTTGATGGCAGTGAAGGCGGCCTCGCCAGGAACAACGTCGACCTTGCCGATGACATTGCCCTCCTTGTCGAGGACCTCGCCCTGGTCGTTGACCTTCTTGCCAGCGCAGTCGCTGAGCTCACCTTCCTTGAGCTCACCAATCTCCTCGCCTTCAGAATCAAGGACCTTGCCCTTCTTGTTGACCTTGAGGCCGTCCAAGATTCTGGTGTCAAGAGCGCCGGAGGCAGACTCCTTGAGCTTGTCGGCAGCACCCTCAGCGAGTTCGACCGTGCCGAGAACGTTTCCGTCCTTGTCAACAACCTCGCCCTTGTCGTTGACGGTGAGGCCCTTGACGTCGTCGATGTTCTCGAGGTCGCCATCAGCAACGTTGCCAACGACATCGCCATCATCGTTGAGGATCTCTCCTTGGGAGTTGATCTCCATGCCCTCGAGGGCCTCGACGCCTGGAAGTTCATCCTCAACATCAGCAGCTTTCTCCTCAGCACCGTCCTTGGCGTCTTCGGCAGTGGACTTGGCTCCGTCAACGGCATCAGTGACACCCTCGGTGGCATCACCATCTTCCTCGTCCTCATCCTCGTCGTCTTGCTGGTAAGCAGGGAGGTCGGCAGCTTCAGGTGAAAGCTCTGCCTTGGCAATGACGTTGCCATCATCGTCGAGGATCTCGCCGTTCTCGTTGAATTCCTTGCCCTGGATAGCGGATGGGTCGCCGTCGACAAGGTGACCAACGAAGTCACCGTCCTCGTTAAGAATTTGACCGGATCGGTCGGCAGTAAGACCCTTCAAGATGCTGATGTTGGGCATCTTGTCACCGGCCTCCTCAGCCTCGTTGGCCTGCTCCTCAACCATCTCTGGTGTAAGTTCACAGCGGCCGACGAGATCACCATCGTCGTCGAGGATCTCGCCGTTGTCACCGATGGGGTAACCGGCGAGGTCCTCAGCATCACCTTCTACAAGGCGGCCGACGTTCCTGCCATCCTTGTTCTTGATCATGCCCTCCTCGTCAACTTCGAGGCCCTTGAGCATGCTCAGGTCGGGGGTAGCATCCTCGGCGGCGTCCTTGGCGTCGTCGGTAGCATCCTGAGCCTTGCTCTGGGCGTCCTCAGTGGCGTCTCCTGCAGTGCCTTGGGCATCTTCAGTGGCGTCCTCTGCGGTGTCTTGGGCATCTTCCGCTGCGTCTTCAGCAGTGTCCTTTGCGTCGCCAACCTTGGACTCAGCAGTGTCCTTGGCCGACTCGGCAGTGTCCTGGGCGCCCTCAGCGGTGTCCTCCGCAGTTTCCTGCGCATCCTCCGCTGTGTCTTGGGCAGCCTCCTGGACATCGTTGCCAGCATCCTGAGCAGCTCCTTGCGGGTCCTGCTTGGCCTTGCCAGCGAGGTTCGATGCGCGGCCGGCGAGACCGCGAGCACCGCTCAATGCGCCTCCACCAGCTTGCTTGCCGGTGTTAGCGGCCTGCTCGGTGGTCTCTGTCGCATCGTCCTCTGTGTTGTCGGCAGTGTCTTCCGCGGTGTCTTCCGCGTCGTCTCCTGCCTTGTGTGTGGCGTCGTCGCCAGTCTCCTCAGCCTCCTCGTCGGCATCGTTGTCGTCGTCAATGGGCTTGGGGTCGGCCTGCTCTAGTTCGTCACCAGCTTGTGAAACCTTGCCGGTGGTGTCTTCAGCAGCCTCTTCCGCCTTGCCCTTGGCATCTTGGGCAGTCTCCTCGCCCTTTTGCTTGGTGTCCTCGGCGGTGTCTTGTGCCTGGTTCTTGGTGTCCTCAGCCTTCTCCTCTCCTTGCTTCTTCACGTCCTCAGCTTGCTCAGGCACATCGGGGGTGGGGGCGTCCTCCGACTTGGGCTTGTTCAGCTTGGGGGCAGATGATTGTGGCTTTCGTCCGAGCTTGGTAGGGGTGCGGGGGGTGTCACCCTTTCCAGCTGCTGGGGAAGGCATGTTGTTGAATAGAACGCTCGAGACGTTGTAGGAGTTGTCGTGTCCGTGATTCACTGTGTAGGATGAGGTGCTGTAGGAAGTAGCTCGATGATGGCCGCTTCCTGATACGTTGCTTGATATAGACTGAGAGCGTGTAGACCGGGGGGAATGTCTATTAGGGGTTGGGGGGAAAGAGTAGTACGAGTAGTTGTGGGAGGAAAAGTGTTCGTCTGTCATATATCAATTGACGAATGGTTCGTCTTTGTAGGGATCAGAAAGTGTGGAAGGATCACAGAGAAGCAGGCATTTATGATAACTACTCCTCAATTGAGCATGCTGGAACGGATGACGTCGAATGCTGGTTTCCAGGAGCAAGAGCTTGCGCCTCAGTTGTGGAGAGGCAGAGTAAACCTGCTTTGGCGCCATAGTGTGTGCAACGAACAGGAGGAGTATTGCGTCACACTACTCACAAGCTCCAGCCTCGAGCGGGGCGTCAGCGCATCCTGGTGGCATGGCCTCCACTCAGCGTGGTGAGACAAGCGGGTAGCTGCTGCAACAGGGGTGGGAACGGCCTGTGGCTGGAAGTGGGATGGCCTAACATCGTCGATGAACCGCGGAGAGCGGGCTGCTGCCAGGGTTGGAGTTGAATTGCAGCAGGAAGTGGAGCTGAAACGCTCTAGCGAAAAGGCTGCCTACGGTACTCTTCGCACTGGACAAGGTTAGTTTGCAGGAAAGACACCAATGGCATGCAGGAAGTGAGGTTCGGGGGACATGTGTCATCTCAGGTAGGCCAATACCGGGCTGCAGATACGCCTTCGCAAGGAAGAGCGCAGTGCGAAACGAGCTGGTGGAGCAAAAGCACACAGAGTCCAGGCCCGATCGACGGCATCGTGGCTGGCCTTGTCGAGCATCGGGTACGGAATCCCTGGCGGTAGCGATTCCCTCCTATCATTGGGGCGCATGCAGCAGGATGGAGGAGCAAGTCGTGCCGTGTGTGCAAGCAGGTTGCAGCGACGCGTACGATGTTGTCGGGCGCCTGACGTCATGGTGTCGGGAGCTCCCCTGCTCAAACGTCGCTTAGCGGGGTCGTAGCTTCCTTTTGGCGGCCGATCGCTGCATGCTACCAGTCTTCGGTACCACCATCGTGAGCACCACCAGCCATCACCGCGACATGCAAGACGGCATGGGAGATGAGGGACCCTGCGGCGGGCGGAGATCAGGAACGACGGAACTCGGAAGAGTGATGCCGAATAACTTCATGTCCGAAGAGGCCTGCGCTGTGGTCATGGTGAAGTTGGACTGTGCCGCGATGAACGGCGGGGCTCCAGCGCAACGGTCGGGACGTTGGCCGCTCCCAACTGCGAGTGACACCACGCACCGCTAAGAGGCTGCAGCAAACCCAATCGTTCTATTCCCGTGGTACCTAACCTCCGGGCAATTCATTGACCCTGACTTGCAGCTGTTAGCTGTCTACTGTATGTATGCACAACGTGGTTTCGATCACGACAAGCCGTCTCGATCGAGACATGTCCGTCGTACCCATAATTATCCTCGCGCCACAACTGCACAAGCAATTCTGCGCAGACGCACGATCGATCACTTCATCTCAGGTACCCCTATCCTGCCCGCTGCCGAGTCATCCCAAAATAACAGGTTGTCAAACCAAGACACATTTCCCAACCCCCAAAACAAACATGGGAAATCTGGGTCCGTGACGACGCGTATGATGTCAGTCGCCGCCGTTCGTAAGAATGATGGCGGCACGGAACGGGGTCCGCACGCTTGGAAAACAATTGTCCGCCACCGAGTCAAGCCATTACCTGTTTTCTGGTTCCTGGATTCTGCGTTTTCGATAGACGGACGTTGATCGCGCCATAATCGTGCAATGACACGCGCGAACAATGCCACATGCATGCTATCTTTAGGAATGGTATTCGTTCTATACAACTTCAGGTCTACTGATGGTTCTAGGCAAATCGACGAGAGAGGATGTCATGACCACGTGAAATCAATCCGCAGGTAGGAAGGAGGTGAGTATCATGGTCATGCAGGAACAGTAGTAGTCCGCTTCGTAGCTCGCATCGCAGCCAGCCGCTCACACCGCGGGGGCGGACTCCCGACGTCCATCAGGCGCAATCCCATCTTCGACATCTTCCCCCGACTTGCTCAACCACTTCTTCCTCTTTTGCTTAGCGGCCTCCCGTTCTTTGGGTGTCAGGTCGCCGTTCTCACCGCGGTCTCGACTGAGCCTCTTCCATATTCGCCGTCCAAGACTAGTCTGTTTCTTCTCTGCCTCTCTCCTCTCTGCTTCCTGCGCAAGTAACTGCCGTTCTCTTTGCGCGCTTTCGCTCTTATCCTTTTGTTCTTCCACATTCCGTTCGTATTCTTCCGGGTGCACAACCTTTGTCTCTGCTTCCTTGACGTGCTCAACCCCATGCTTGAACTTCTTGCGTGTCTTAACGTAAGCTTCAAGGCCGACGAGGACAGCATACGACCGGGAGATGGAGACACGCGACATGTCTACTCCGTTCTCCTTCATGGAATGTACGAACGCACGGAAGTTCTTCGTCGGCGGTCGGTAGTGGCCGGACAGGGGTGAGAGGCGCCGAAGCTGACCATCCTTGACTCTGATCAGGCCTGCGGCAGATATGCGCGCACCGTGGAGGAACGAGCTGTGCTGGAAAGCACCCGATTGCTTGATCCCGACGTACAGGCGGAAGGATGTGTCGGCTACCTGTGCTTACTTAGTACATCTGGCTGACGGGGGAGAATGCACGTCTTACGAATATCCATGAGTTCGGCTTCACTGAACTACGGAGAAGGTGATTCAGAATAGTCGCGGCTGACACATGTTTGAGCTTCGACACGCCCTTAGCTTTGTTGAGGTCCTCATTGACGTAGTGTTCTGCCTCCTCTGCCTCAGCATCGCTCTCGGACATGGATGAGCTTGAGCTCACGGAGATCATTGAACTTCGTCGTAGGGTCTTGCTTTGTCCAGAGTGGAGCTTTGCTTTGGGACCATAGGCAGGAGTGTCATCGTCGACCGGTACAATACCGTTGACACTATCTTTGTAGTCCATGGTCGTGTTTAGGCGCTCGCCATTCTTCGCCCAGCATAGGCGGCCTTCCTCGTCGATGGTGACCAGGTAGTTCTGACGCTCCTCCCGCGACAAGTAGCGCACGCGCTCTGTGTCAAGCCTCTCTCTAGAGACGGTGGGATGCTCAAAGTGCCTACCCTCGCCATGGTCGAGCCAGTAGAAGAAGTTCTCGTGGGTATCCGCCTTCTTCCATTGCTCGTGGTAGGCTCTCAGATTACTGCCGTAGCGATGCTTCTGGTCCACCATCTCCAGGAAGTACTGGAGGTCCATCATCTTGGCAGTCTTCTCGCGCTCCGCCTTGGACTCGTTCTGCTTCCGTCGTTGTTCCGTGTGGTTCTCGGGCGCATCTTCGTCGTCCGTCTCTGAGGCATCGTGGGGATCGTCAGCGCCCGCTCGTCGCGCAATCTCGCCGACTCGTTTCCACTTCTCGCGCGCTGCTATGGAGTTCGCTCGTTCACGTGCTTCGGGGGTAGTGAGGTTGTCGCGCAGAGCCGCGTCTTCCGAGCGCGGCTTCGGCTTCGTTGCATTGCGCCATTTCGCTTGAGAGGTTTAGCTTGGGCGCAGTAGAGATCATGGTGGACTGCTAACCGTCGCGTATCGCCTGTTATCATTAGCCACACATCTCCCAGGTAGTGCGAACGTCTCCGACCTCTGCCCACCGTGCGCTAGCATCGAGGCCCATGCCTTGAAGCTGCCTGCGCTCCCGATAGCCGCGATAGTTGCGCTGGATCATCTGTGCGGCTTGCGCTTGCTCATCTGTCCCCATGTCCGACTTGCGAGCCGCGACATCGTGGGCGCTGACCATTCTGGCTCCGTCGACATATATGTGGCGCAGGACATTGAATCACAGAGTGGAGGTGGGAGGCTTGACAGCTGGAATTTGGTGGGGCTAGTGAAGTCGCACCCCTGCTGTTCGGCTTTTCGGCAGTGGCCGCGTCATCGCGCAGCACCCAGTAAGGGAACACCACCATCTTTCACCAACGGCTATAACAACGGAAACTATCGCTTGCAATCATCTGAGGGCATGTCATTGTCGCTCGCTATGTAACAGCATTTTGTGATATGTACGCCGTAGCGCAAGTCCCCAGGTCGAGTAGAGCATGGTTTGTTTCCAACCCCCCGTGTTGCTCCGCAGAATGGCGGACACCGATTTGTGTAGATCAATGATGAACATAGCTTCGAATACGTCGCGAGATCTCACATCCCCTCCAGGACTCAACTCAATTTCTGTATTCCCAAGCTCGATTTATGGTACCAACTCCCAACTCGACGAATCGATAAGTCGTGTCTACCAGGTAGGCTAGCTCATCTGCGCCACAGCTGGGATATTACTCCCGATCCATGGAGGGCTGCGAAGGACCTCTTCCGTCATCATGCTGATCCCAGCCCCTATTAACTTCCATTGTCGACCTTTCGAACTTTGAACATCCCTCACATTTATCTCGCAAATTTAAATCACCACCATGACGGAAACATCAGCCTTGAAGCGCGCAGCTTCCGAAGACCCCGACGTATCGAGCGAGCCATCTAATGGCGTGAAGAAAGCCAAGAAAGTCGGCACTACGGACCCAACAACAGCAACAGCGGAGCTAGAGAGTATTGGAGCTACAGAATCCGCCCCAACTCGCGGTGGACCACAAGACGATGTTGCATTGCAGCAGAAAGATGCGACATCTAAAGAGATCAATGAGAATAGCGGCAAAGAAGTACAGCAACCCAAGACAATCGCTCCAGTGCCCGAACCCACCAAAGCAGACGGCGAAGACGAGGACGAGGACGACGAGGACGAGGACGACGAGGACGAGAGCGAAATAGAGAAATCAGTTTCGCCTGACGGTAGCGACGAGGACTACGATTCCGAAGAAGATGGCGATGACGAACCTTACGGTTACGGTCTTGAACGCGACCCCGACCAAGGTGGTCTGGCGATGCCACCCGGCCTTGACGACGAAATTGATGAGTTGGCGAATGATTATTAAATCTCGAAGCAAGGTGATCAGTTTGATGAGTACGCGGGAAAGTGTGGCAAGGATGTCATTCATGAGGCGGTATGTTTAGCAAGCGACTCGGATGCCATTGAGGAAACATCTGACCGGCAACGGGCAGGACTGGATATCGATATAGGTGACTTTTGATCTCATTATGTGTACTTCAGGCCCGCGTGCTTTCGCAGGACGTTGCCATCGCTATTCGTATGTATCAAGATGTTGACATCTTATTCTCAGTTATGCATGGCTGCTCTTAACCACGTGAAGTATATGTACCTTGTACTTTCCCTCTCAATTTATCTGTGTACCTAATGTGCTGTGACGGTTCACCTGTGTTGTCGCAGTACATTCAGTGCATGTTTCAAAAAGGCAGTTACGACGCGGAGAATTGTTTTGTTCCTTTCCATGTCGACACTTGGTGCCTTCGTTCTCATCGGGAAAGAGCCGCTATCAGAGTCGTCCGATCTCATCGTTTGCACCTGCACTTTCCTTCCACACGCGATCCCGCGACGTCATCGTCACAGATAAAGCACGCAAACACAAACAACCACCTCACCTTCTTCTCCACAGCTTCAACCCACCGCTTTTTCCACTCAAGCATCACCTACAGCCCTACCCCTATCAGTCACCATGAGCGACATCCTCAGCGAGAAGGTGTCCTCCGATGCGAGCAGTGATGCTACGACGCTTTCGCAGCGCTTCCAAGACCAGTTGGAAGCTATCCTCAAGAAGCTGAGAAAAGATCCGAGCACCATCACAGCCGAGGAAGCTCGTATTCTATCTGAGAACGTCCCTACACGTGACGACAGAGCGGTCCGCATTATCTCTGCCGTCGAATCCCTAGCTATTGCTAACAAGGTGTGGATTAGAAGGGATCCAGTCAAGCTCAGGCTCCTCATCGTTCCCTGCTGATGGCCGCCAAGGACCTGCATATCGCTGTAGATGGCAGCCCTGACGAGGCGACCACCGAGGTTCTCCGCGTTGCCCAGAGCATCGTTAGCAGTACGTACCTCCTTCCACATCTCATCCCGCTTAAGCCTTCGCTCTATGTCAAGACAAGTACTGATGATATGCAGAACTGCAAAATGCCGTCGGCCATACCAATGCTCCTCATCCTGAAGTCGAAGCTGAGCTCCAGGAGGAAATCGCTAAGATCGAACCCAAGATTGCGCAAGGCACTGTCACCAAAGCTGAAGCCGATCACCTCCACTCTCTCGAGGCCCGTGCCCATGGTCATACCGAGAAGGGTGGCATCGCCGCTGTCGCGCAGTCTGTTGCGGCCAGACGTGAGCGTCAACTGTCACTGAGCAGCAGCACTGGATCCATCTTGAGTCCTGTCAACGGAAGATCTCGTGCCAACAGTAGGAACTACACATCACCTCAGCAAAGGTCTCGCCAAGAGAGGGAAGATGACACCCACAACGCGGAGATGACTATGAGACCTAAGATCGAGGCAGACAATGCCGCAGCATCGGAGATGGACAATCCAAAGTCTCTCGACGCTTGTGCTGACAGTGGCACCGAGGAACATGTATGCTTGGGGCTCTGTGTATCCCGCGCCAACGACGGAAGTGCTCGCGCCAGCGATGAACGTCCCCGCCCCAGTGGCGAGAGCATCCACTCCCGTGACACACTCTCTGGCTTCAACCATCACGGGGATTTACACAACGGTGATTCCAAGACAGAGAACGGCTTCTCCACTCAACCAAACCCCAAAACGAGCCAGTCGCAAGAGACGCCCACCCACAGCCACACTGAGAAGAGTGGCCTCAGCCCCACTGCACAGGCCTTCGTCTCCCGTAGACGACAAGAGTCCCTCAGCGACGTGTCCAACTCTTCCGCGACTAAGCACCACAAAGAGCAGTCACAGCCCGACAAGGACCTTAACAAGGTTGATGAGGAACTAGAGATCAACGAGCACGACATCTACGTGAAGAGCCTTGTGCAGGACGGTCATGGTCGAGCGGACGAGAACGGAAAGCTTCTGGCTGAGTCAAGCTACGACGCGGACGATCGATGAGGGAGTGAGACATGAGGGTGGCATGATAGGTGTGTTCATGAATGTCGGAGACGTATCTAAGATGGTAGAGGAGTAGGTGATATTCGAGATTCACTATAGCCGGATAAGGGCAGGTGGCATAGAGGTCACGAACCTATACGTAGATGACCCATCCGCTGGACACTTTAACGAACCACAATTCGCCCTCTCAACCCACAGAACAACACTGCACTAATTTCTAATGTGAACACATCTACCGAATATCACGTCCCAACGCTTGACTACTTCGTGTGCACTCAGCAGAAGTAAGGTCTATGGTATCAATTCCTACATGCCTACTCAACAAGCCGCTAAATGCATGACAAGGTCCCCTCCAGTGCACTCTCCATCCCCTCACTTGATCTCTGTCTTGGCCATCATATCCGCCAAATCGTCAACCTTCTTATCCTTCTCCTGGCCCACATTACTCTCCTCAGCCTCGTTGTTCGCCGCGACCTGTCTCGCAGCCTTCTCCTCGACCTCAACACCCTCCTCGTCATCATCAGCATCCCCACGCTTCTCCTCTGCATCACTCTCCTCCTCGTCTTCGTCGTCGTCATCCAACTCGTCCAGTTCGTCGAGACCCCAGTATTCTTCGTCGTCCGCATTCTCACCACTCTCCTCTTTCCGCGCATCGAGGACATCGCGCAGTTTCTCGATACTGGGGTCCTCCTCGTCGAACTTGTTGCCGTTGATCTCGACGCGACGGAGCGCAGGGAGTGCGGTGTGAGACGCGGAGGCGAGGCCAGCGAGGCCCTTGGCGTTGATGTCGTTGAACTGGAGGCGCAGGACTTCAACCTTTTTGTTGTTGCCCTTCTCTAGTGCAGCGGCGAGTGCGACGCCGCCCCGGCCGCTGAGTAGGCAGTCGCCTACGCCGAGTTCGCGGAGCTCAGTCCAGTTGCCGACGGCGCTGCTGAGAGCCTTTGCGCCCATGGCTGTGAAGGTGTTGTCCTGGAGGTCGAGAGTATCTAGTTTGGAGAGGTGGGCGAGGCCGTTGGTGATGAGGTGTGAGATACCCTCCTGACGGATACCGTTCTGCGTCATCTTGATGGTCTTGACGCCCGTGTTGGCGGCGTAGGCTTTTGCCCATGCGCCCATGCTGCCGTTCTCCAGGCGGTTGCGACCGCAGATTACGAGTTCGAGGTCGGGAACTTCCTTGCCGTCTGCGCGCGCCGCGGCCTTCTTGGCGGCGAGTGCGGTGAGTGCATCTGCGACGAGGACACCGGCTGCGGGTCCGAGACCGTTGTTGTTGAGGTATAGGTAGCGGAGTGGGGTGTGTTGCGACAGGAAGTCTACGAGCGGGGCAACCGTGTTGAGGCCGAACGCGTTGTCGGAGAGATCGACGGTGTGGAGGTTTGGTAGTGTGAGGAGTGAGGTGAGGAGGTGGGATAGCGCGGGTGGGATCTCAGAGAGGAGACGCGAGGTGAAGATGTCGGCGAGGTTTGCGACCTGGAATTTGTGTCAGTCAGTCTGTCTTTAACGTCGCAGCGCCGATGAGCGGGGTGGTGAACGTACCTGGAGGTTCTTCTTGCTCTCCAAGACCTTTGCAAGCGCCTCGCTGGCTCCAATACCCAGAGTGTTGCCCAAGAACTTGATCTCCTCTACATCGTCGTTGCTCTTGAGATCCTGGATGTGCGGCTCAATATCCTCGGCGGTGGTGAGTTTGAGGCCCTTGCCCTCGATAGAAAAGATCTTTGCGCCAGCCATGTCTTCGCACGCCCCGTTGCAAGTTACAGTGAGGATATAGTAGCGGAAGGCAGCACAACAGGGGGGCGGGTTTGTTGTTTATACTTTATAGTGTGAGTCGTGGGGCGCAAAACGTAGTGGGGTTGATTGAGATTCATTGTCTAGAACCCCCTGTCGCCTGCAGGGTTGGTTTTAGCCGAACCGTGGAAGCCTCGTGTGGCGTATTGGAGCGCCGCGGGAGTCCGATGACATGATCTGGGAACTTTTGCGATTGCTAAGCATCTTCAAGTCTCCTCCACCACACACCCACACTCACAATGTCGTCAGGTATGCTTGCGTTCTGATGATGGCTTGTATGCGACGCAGGGTAGCTAATTGATGGCGTTCTAGCACCGCCGACCGCTGCCAACATGGGCTCAGACCTCAAAGACACCGCCGCGCCAGCGAAGGTTAAGCGTGAGTTTGTACCCAACTTCTACCTGCTGACCAAGTACTGACTATCGAATAGCATGCTGCGTCTGCACAGACCAGAAGGCTAAACGCGACGAATGCATGCTCTTCTCGACATCGAACGACCCCCAGAAAGAGTGCTTCACCCTCGTCGACGACTACAAGAAGTGCATGGCTGGATACGGCTTCAAGATATAGCGCAATGAGGGACGGAAATGTATACGACATGTACAACACAAGCATATGGGTGGCGTTGCGCATGATTCGCGTTTTTAGATTCGGTGTACAATACTATACATGAGGAACCGGAATCTTCCCTCCAAATCTACCTGGGTATCTTGAAGAAGTGCTGAAGTGCACTAACGAACATCCACCAACCTTTTACTGCGTCTTGCTCTTTTCTCCTCCAAACAACTCACTCTTAACAACAAGTCGCCACAAGCACCACAGGTAGCAAATACCAAAGCCACCCGTCCCAACAATCGCGTTCGCAACAACCCAGAGGTCCGGTTTGTCGCTTGGGGGAGGGTAAAAGGCCTCCGCAACATGCCACCCAATCATGGCCATGTAGATGTTGAGGTGGAGAATCTTGCTGAAGACATTCAGTCCACCCCGGCTGCCTTCGTGGTAGGCCGAGAAAGAAACAGGTGGGAGACCAAGAAGATAGGCCCACAAGAGGGATATGACAAAGTACGGAACTCGTAGCTCGTCTCTCTTGAGCAACGGGAACATTGTCCAAACGCCAAGCATGTTCGCAAGACCAACCCACGCGCGAGTGGAGGGCAGCAAACCATCTTTTCCGCTGAGAAGCAGTGTCATTGGCAACAGCGGAAGCAAGACATTCTTCTCGTGCACTTGGTATGAACAGAGGAAGAAGCCCCAGGAGACCGCCGCGAACGCCAGTGGAAGAAGCTGCTTCTTAGGCTTGACAAAGATGACCAAACATGGTGGCAGAATCGCAGCGGTCGTGGCGAGTAGCGCGAGACGCTGAAGTAGCTCGATCGGATAGCGATGAAGCTTGTGGAAAGTATGGATAGTGCACCAGATATTGGCAACCTTGTCCTCGAATAAACCACGGGAGAAGGGAAAGATGCGGTGGATCGCCTGTCCCATCTCCAAAACATATGGGTAGTACCAGGCGTTCATATTCCACGGCGTCATGAACCATCTCAAGGTCAGCAGTGGGGGCGTCTCCAAAGGATCGTAATTGAAGCGGGTATAGCTGTCGTATGCGACACCCATCAAGAACGGCAGAAATAGCACGGCAAATGCGGCCACGGTAGTCAGCGCGATCGCAAGGAACCGCACGATGTTGATCCTGGGGAAGAGACAGATGCCCAGCAGGTATGCGAAGACCGCAGGCGCATAGAACAATGCCATCTGCTTGAATCCAAGCGCACCGACAAAGAAGACGCATCCCCACAGCGGTCTTCCAGCGATCATGCTTGAGAGCGTTGCGACTGCAAAACCAAGCATGACCGTGTTGTACTGGAAGTGCCCATGGTCAATCAATATGGTCCCCGGTTGCATCAGGATAGCAACCAGCGCAATTGACGACTCCCAAATATTGACTCCTTCTAGTCGCGAGTATCGGCGGAGGAAGATAATCGTCGCGGGAACGTAGATGAGGTACTCGGATACGAAGACGGTGGCTCGCATGTATATCTTGAGGGAAGGGTCATCGAGCGCCCGCGACTCGTCGAGAGCGAACCATTTCGAATTGATGGCAGAACCACTGCAACCATTAGTACTTGTATTTGATATCCAATGCTCCAACATACATGACACCCAGTATCCAGCTATGATAAGCAGTCAATGGTGGGTAATCCAGTCCCCACCACTGCAAGTCATAAAAGTACCATTTCGACACGGGCAGGTGTTTGGTGATTTCCATCCAATGCCGCTGGGCCTCAAAGTCACCATGCATTGGCGGTGACTGGAATCCAGAATAGCCCCACAAACTGACAGTCCATCTGAACAGGCCAACTGCCATCAAGATGAGGGGTATCGTGACCCATTGCGAGACGGTGCCCTTGGCTGGCCAGAGAAACGCGACGAGAGGAAACGCGGGCTTCCGTGCGTTGGTCGAGTGGTCGAGATCAAGCGTGCCGTGTGCGACTTGGGCAAGAGAGCCCTCTCCGATATTTCGCCGCCGTCGCGGTTTATGGGCTGCTGGAGATGCCATGCTGGAGCTGCCTAGGTGAGCTTGGTGAGGGCCCGGACGGAATCGAGGACTCGTGGCGGAGATTCTACGCTTTACCGCTTCTGCGCTAGCTTGTGCCCTGCATTTGAGCCCTTGAAGAGTTCGATACCCAGATCTCTTTGGACGAAGAAGAGTCAGCGTCCCTGGTCCAGGCTGTTACCTAGACTAGCTGCTCTGCAGCTTTGGTTCTTGATGGAGTAGTAACCTATGCATCACGTTGTAGGTGATTGAAGCTGCCAAAATCACATAGATGTCGCGGCCTGATCAAGCTGCTCACAGCAGCATGCCGAGGCCACAGTGGACATTCTCGGCAAACATTCTGTCTGGGATCAATCTGTTTTGCTGCTGCGTATACTGTAGACCATGTGGTGCTCTCTAATAAAATTTCGTGCAAGGTAGCCTCTCTGTGAGTAGACGTACCGGAGTCCTGAACTTCAAACCGCCAATTTTCCGACATTTCCACACAGAAATCATCGTATGTGCTTTCCATCTCAATGAGTCCCAGTCTTCTCGAGACCCTGAGATCTCGCCTGGAGGAAATACCGCCGTCGCCGTTGGATGGAGTTCGCGTGGGGCGAATCTAGCGTACCTCGAGAAAACGCGTTCCTAGCGCCGCGCTCGGGCCCCAGATCCGCTGAAAAGT